CGTGGGGCGTTCCGCCGGGGCGCGAGAGAGACAGCGCGAGTGCAGTCCGCGTTTGCACCTCCGCGCCCCCCGCTATCAACCTTTCCAGCTGAGCCGGTAATCTGCGTGTGATGCGCGATGCGGCTTTTCCCACGGCCCCCCTCAGGTTCGCGTTTCGGGCCGCCAAAGTCCGGCCAGCCGCCGGAGCGGTTCGATAGAATCTTGGACTCTTTTGGGCGGTCGCGGACTGTGAGACTGTGAGGCGGTTGTCGCCGACGGCAGACGTCGCAGAGGCCGCCGTCGCCTTTCGTCGAATGGCCAGGCCGGCCAGCCTCGCGGCTGCAGGCTGATTCCGAGCACTGCCTGTCGTTCTGTTCCCCTCGCACCCTTGCGGGACGCCCCACCAGTGCGAGAGAGACAGAGCGAGACAGGCTGGGACGGGCTGTGCGCTGGGCGGCGCTGCCCCGTCTGGGGCCTTATCATAGCTGGACCGCGGCGCGGCGGCGCGGCTCCCGGTTTGCCTTAATCGATGCGATTCGTCGCGGCACCCCGACCGAGACTCGGACCGAGACGGCCGAAGCTCGGGCCGCGGTAACTCATGCGGTAATTGTCCCCCCCTTTCCGCCAGCCGGCTCGCTTGTTGGCCGCGATTACTTCATCGACACGATGCCGCGATGCATGCCTCGTTGCCGCCGTTCGTTTCCATCCGTTTCGGCGTCGAACGCGCGGCAAGCAGCGGTGCCTCACTCCGACAGTCGTTTTCGTCGCTCTGTCTCTCCCGCACACATTGGCCCGGGTGCGAGAGAGACAGAGGCGAGAAAGACTCTCGGAATGGGGCTGGCGCGGGGCGGGGCGGGGCGGGGCGGGGCCGCCACCAGCCCCACGGCACGGGGCGGTGGACGTGACCCGGCTCATCCAGCCTATCCAGCCAACGCGGCCAACCAGGCCTTTCTCTATCGACTGCGGCATGAGCCGCCATCAGCCGTCCGCAAGCTGCAGTCTGATCTTCTTGTGTCCACGTGAGCGCGCGGCGAGGCGGGGCGGCTTGATCTGTTGACGGCGCGGCAGCCGGTAGGAGAGGAGAGGGGAGGGAGGGATGGCCCTGGTTTTCACCTCGCGGTCAAGAAAAAGTATCGCCGCCGCGAGGCTGAGTGAGTAACGCCCTCTGTCACCTGCGGTTCCCATACTGGCCTGGCCGACAGGTGTCCCCCGCGGTTCCCATACCCTTGCCGCCGGGCCGCCGGCGCTTGCGGTTCCATTCCCAAATTATAAAACGTCTGCACCGGGCTGCCCTGACCACGCATTGTCAACGTCGCCCTGGTCCTGCCGTGCCCTGCCGTGCCCTGCCGTGCCTAGGCCGTCCATTCTGGCGGCCATCTCCGCCTCTCCGCCCGGCGCGCCTCCGGAGTCCCCGCCGCCCTTGACCGACGACGGGACACGGCACGGCACGGCGCGAGGCAGCGCCATGTGAACCGCCGTGAGGACAACGGGACACCGCGAGACCGCGTTCGCGGCGTGCGCGGCGTGCGCGGCCCAGCTCACTGCACTTTGCCTCGTGCCCGCGCCAATCCCTATTTCGCATCGTAAAACAAACCAACAGCACACGTTGCGCGGACTGCTCGGCCGGTGAACTAGAGGGCCTGTGATGTTGATTGCCTGCCCACCACTTAGACGCACGTCATGCACACTCACTCGGCCACGAATTTCCGTCGGATTGTTTGAGTCTGTCTGTCCAAGACTGTCCGTCCGGTGCCTTGACACTGCCGCCCTGCAGCGACAGGTTTGATCGGCTGCCTCTCCAGCGGGCGCTAGCGTGTTGGATGGGACCTGGCCGATCGGCAGACGATCGTGGTCCAGCCGTCAATGGCAATAGACTGCCGCACTGCCGCGGGCTGCTTGTGTGTCCGATGGGCTGCCTACCCGACGGGTGGCTTGAGTGTCCGATGGGCTGCCTACCCGGCGGGCGGCGTGTGTGTCCGATGGGCTGCCTACCCGGCGGGCGCTCAGCTGCTGCTACGCTGCTACAACATCATCATCGCTGTTAGGCCTCTCGCAGACCTTTAGCGGTGGGGAAACCGAGCTGATACACTGCCGCAGCCGCATGTTACACCGCTCCTATTTTCATCGCGCTCTGTTCATCCCAGTCCCCTTGCAGAGAAAACCCGAGTGGTGTGTGAAGCGGTATTTTCTTATCTCGAATCTAATCCATTTTGCCAATTTGATAATTCGATTCAAAAAGGAATCGAATAAGACATTATTCTTTTGTTTTCGAACCATGGCTTCGATTTGTAAATTTCACATTTCTGGTTCGTGGTCAAATCGAATTCAATTCAATTTCGAACAATTCGCACCTCTCTAGAAAATAAGCCTCCCAATTATTTTTTAAAAATAGTATTGTGGTGCTTTTTCTGTGGTCTGCGTAAGGTATTTTCCAGTTTTCCTAGCTTCCAACTCCTGCCCGCGATGCCTCACGGGATGCAGAATAGGTGGACGTTCCAGTTCCTATAATTTATGCTCGCGCCTCGCGCCTCGCGCCCCGGGAGTGTGTTGGCGAGGTGCGAGGTGTTGATGGAGGGTGCGGCCTATCGAACCGCATCCGCGCACACCGCGCACCGCGCACGCCACCAGAGGAAATGCAGTGCACAGTTAGGTTTCGCGGATGAATTTCCACAGTGGCTTTCCACATGCGGCCCATCACCCAACCACCTCGCCCTCCAAAAGTGGTCAGTAGCTGCCCGAAGAAGATGGCACACGGTGGGACAAGCTTCCCACTCACTGGGGGACGCCTTCTTGTTTTGTCGGAGCTCATCTCTCGCGCCAATTTTACAATGGAGGAGAACCGGCGGCCCCACAGCGTGCCATGCAGGGACTCTGTGGGCGTGGAGCCTCACGGGGCCGCGACGAGGACGAGGTCCAATGCGCGCCAAACACGTTGGACAACATGGGAAGCGTCACATCATGGTGCGGCCTAGTGTAGCCGCCGTGCCGTCAGTGCGGCTATGTGAGGAGGGGCACTCCTACACTCTAAATATGGGGTGCCCAGAAACTGGCCGCCTTTGTCGCCTGCCCCACTTTTTAGGGTGCCAAATGTCGCCCAGTTTCTGGGCACCTTTGTCGCCCAGTCTCGGGGTGGACTAATCATGCAGTAACCGGCCCTCTCCCATGGTAGAGCATGCACAGATGTCTAGTTCCTGGGCGACTAAGGTGCCCAGAGTCTGGGCACCTTTGGCACCTTAGTCGCTGCTGAGCCATGGGTGAAGGCAGGTTCCCTAATGGTTTGCCCACCCCGAGACTAGGCGACAAAGGTGCCCAGAAACTGGGCGACATTTGGCACCCTAAAAAGTGGAGCAGGCGACAAAGGCGCCCAGTTTCTGGACACCCTACATTTAGAGTGTAGACAGAGCCAGGCGGAGCCAGGACCACGTTCGGCATTATCGCCGAGCAGGTCAATTATTTGGTGCAGCAAAGTGGATCCGGAGATGCTTTGGTTGGCCGCGCCTAGCTGCGCCCTGCTGGTTGCCAGTCCTGTTACGCCACTGAAAGCGACCCGCCACCCACCGCGACACCTCGCGACACCTGCCGGCCGGCCCGTCCACCCACGCCAGCACGGCCAGCACGACCAGCACGACCAGCACGACCAGACGAGAGCGGTTCAGAAGATCGGGTTGTCGCACCGTCTCTCTCGCACCCTTACGAAGAGCCTGAGTGCGAGAGAGACAGAGCGACGAAACGACTCTCCTGAACCGCTCGCCAGCACGGCGGTGGCGGTGCTTGGTGGCGGTTTGGTGGCGGCTTGGTGGCGGCGGCGGGGAAGCGAGGATGGCGTCTGGCGCTGGCGCGTGCCGCGCGGTGCCGCGTGCCCCCGGCTCGGACTGCTCGGACTCCGGACCGCTCCGGACCCCGGAGCATGGCGGTAGAGATGACTGATGTCGAGGCTCCGCGTGTTGCACGTCGCACCGTGCAGAAAAAAGGCTTTGTACGAAGTCGGCTTGCCTAGCCGCCCTTGAAGGGTCTTAATGGAGACCTACATCCCAGAGAGGTAATGTAGGGAGGGCTCTGCCTCTGGCTGTTAGCGAGGTGCAAGAAAGTAGTCTTATGCCGAAGAGTGCTTCGTCGTACCTTCCCTCGTACACTCTTGGGACTCCCTCGCGAATGCGAGAGGGACTGAACGACTACAAGCACTGCTCTGAATCAGCCCGCAGAAGCCACCCCCCCCCCCCTTTTGTCCCCTTTCCATTGCCCTATCCCCTCGCTCCTTAAAAGGGTTTACTACGAGTGAAGGGACAGGGCGATCTCAGGAATAATTTTGCTTCTTTGGGTGACCCACGATTTTTTTTTTCTGAAGAATAAAAACATAAACGAAGGACAAAATAGCAGGGAGACACTTTTTTCACAGTATATTCTCGGAGACAGTCGGAGAATGCAATCGTTTCGTGATAACGCTAGCGCCTCGCACAGGCAGGATGCACCCATTTGCATGAGATCAAGTACGCTCCTATGTAATAAGGTCAGTACGTGAGTACGCGGTGATCGATATTAATTTCTTACTGGACCGAACACAGGGGGAGGGGGGGGGGTGCTTTCCCTGTGGTGAATAGGGGGTGACCACGATTTATTTCTTCCCAACAGCTCTCCCCGATTTAATTCGAAATTCTCTTTTCCTTTATTGGACGTTCGCGTCACTCGACGAGCATGCCCTAATTCAGATTCGGCCCTTGCCAGCTGTGACCTTGAGGAAAGCTCGCGTGTCCATCCCTTCCTTCTCCCGTCGGGCGGCGGACCCTCCTTTCGGGTCACACAGCTGTCGGGCTTTCTTAGCTGGTCACTTGTCTTATTCACGCTTTTGAAAAAGATTGGTGACTATAACTCGTCGGAACCCAAAAGTTATTTTTTTTTAGAAATTTTTTTGTACCCATTAGAAACTGAGCAGGTTCTATCAACGTATCGGGCGGAGTGACATAGTAAAGGGGGTGAGGAAAGGGGATGTCGGGCTGCTTGCAGTGCTTCCATAAAGTGGAACGCACCCATAGGAGGCCAGCCAGCGAGCCAAACAGGGCGTTGAAAAAGACGATCTAAGGAAAAATACGGACGATATTTTCACAGAAATGGCGTTGTCCGGGTGCTATGCGATTTTGAAGTACTTGGTGGTCATCATCAACTTCATATTTTTCGTAAGTGTTTGCCTTCCATTGACGAATTTCCGATACGTGGTCCTCTGTTGCCTTGGTGTGTAGTGTAGTGGACCAGACTTTTGCGTAGGAGGATAGGCAGACGAGACTGCATCATATTGCAGCAATTACTTGGTTATTAGTATGTTTAACTCGCACTCCCGATGTTTGCGCGCACTTTTAACTGTCTGATTGACATCTTTTAATTCAATCTCACGTAACCAGCATCAACGTGAACTTCACACTGTTTTCTCTGTCTTCACTCCTAGTTCAAACATTGTCTGAACACACTTTTTATTGTTTTGGTGAACATGCCGGTCTGCTTCAAATTGAATCATTTTCACACCTACTTGAAACGATTCTACTCTTGACATGTTCAAGTCTATCCTCTTTGCCTTAAATGATTGGTAGTGTTTATGGTGTGTGCGTTTGTTATGGCCATGGCTACCTTTAATTTTTCAATGGATTTCTCTATCAGAACAGTGGCTTCACACAGTTTACTCAATTGTAAAAATGTAACACTCAGCAACAATATACCATACAATTTTTCTCTCACTGTAGTCTGTGATTCATAATGTGGGTCAAATCTGCTTGCACTGTCTTTTAATTTTTGTACTTCAAAGAGCTATTTTTGCCTTTAGGTGGCTGGCATTGCTGTTGTAGGCGTGGGAATATGGATTCTGACAGACTCTACAATGTACCTCCAAGTAGTCCAGGATGATACCAACTTCCACACTGGCTTATATATTATGATAGCTGCTGGGGCATTAATGTTTATAGTTGGTTTCCTCGGCTGTTGTGGAGCCTTGAGAGAATCTCCATGTATGCTTGTCACGGTAAGAAATGTTTGGTGAACGAGGTAACATGATTGGAAAGTCTCAATTTCTCACATTAATTTTTATTTTTCAGTTCTTTTCTTTCTTGCTCGTGATTCTGGTTGTTGAAGTCGCAGCTGGTTGTTGGGTGTACACAAACCGAAATGAACTGGAGAACATGCTGCAGGACCATGTCAAACAAACTGTTGAAATTGATTATGGCACAATTGATTATCGCACCAAGACCTTTGATACCATTCAGAAACATGTTAGTATAAACCCCATTGTTGCTATATATCTAAAAAATGTTTTGCTTTTTTGTGTTCAGCTGAGACTGATGGGTTTCACTTCATGTTGCAGCTCAAGTGTTGTGGTGCCAATGGTCCAAGGGACTGGAGCAGTGCACGGTTCAACCAGGCTAATAAGAAGAGTGGAAGTGGAATGGATCTTGCACTTTCTTCATCCCCACAATTTTACAGATTGCCTCTGTCTTGCTGTAACACACCTGACAGTCGTCAAATCTGTGATGATGCGTCTCGGATTGGCCTCTCAGCAAAGATTCCAGTTGTCATGTATAAAGAAGTAAGAATCCTTAAGATATGAGACTCTCCCAGTTCTTCCCTTATAAGATAAATAAAATGATAATTTTCATTTTGTTTCAGGGATGCATTGACAAGTTGAAAGAAGTTTTGAGTGATCATATGGTCATTGCATGGGCTCTGTTGATTACCATTGCTGTTCTTGAAATCTTTGGGCTTATCTTCTCACTTGTTCTTTGCTGTGCTGTGCGTTCTGTGGACCGTTACAAGTCATAAGTTGCTACTTTCAAAATGGTTCCTCAGCCAGTAAAGTGGAAATAATTTATCTGGACCGATTGCTGGACTTGTTGATAACTGAAAGCAGTGCCATGTTCTCCATTGCTGTGGTGAAAACTTTTTACTTTCTAGTTATTATTATTGTTTTTGTTCAATTTTTTTAACTCTATCTTACCAGCTTTTGGGTCCTACACATGACAGCTATCATTGTGTGATTATATATTTATTTTGATTTCCTATCTGAATGTCCTGGAGTAGAATGTACTGAGTGGATTTAGGATCTGATGATTTGTGAAAGAAAAATTTGGTTCAGTGGGTTCTGTTTGATGCGTTGGCCGTGTGGAGTTGGGCAAGTACTGTTTACTTTTGCCCAGTTGAAAGTTTTCAATGCATTTTACCATACACCATTGTAAATTTGATTCTTTTAAGGACATTTTTTTGTCCTGTTTCAATGTTTATCTAATATACTAGTTTATTGTAGTGTGTAGTGAAAATAACTGTTTTATTTAGTAGAGTAACCAGTGGCACTAACATTCAAAGGACTTCTTCTTTAATTTGTTACCTCACAGTTGAAATACTGAGTTGATAGTTCATCTGTGTAGAATTTGTGGCTAAGTTACGTCCTATTTCCAAAGCTTTTAAGAAATAATTCTTATCTGAAGCCTAACTCAATCTTTGTTGTGCATGCTTTAAGAAATGAGTTGAGACGGTATTAGAGCACAAGATATTTTCACCACTACAGACTGTTGCTGTGCCATTATACTTCTTAAATGAAGACAGGAACTGATATTTTTGTTTATAATTTACTAATACTAAGATTTCACTCACTAAGTGCAGCTTTCTGGCAAACTTGAAACTACTGTTGATCCAGTTAATAACATTTTGTATTTCCAATTTTGGTCCTTTACCATTGTGTCTACACATAGCCATTAAATGAAGTAGACTGGTGGAGAGTAAAATTAGGATTACGTTGTTAATGGGTTGTATACTGTTAACTGTGGAAACTAAGTGTTTTGAACTGCACATGTGTTGAAACAAGTACAAGCATTAGGGTTAGAAGTGTAGTTTTATACTCATATTTTTTTTCCTGACGATGAAAGCATTTTTATTTAGAATCACTGTTGTGGTTCCTGTACTCAGACCCTTTTTAAAATTTCCTTTATTTGTGTACAAATTTACACTTTGTAACTACACTAGTCTCCAAATGCATTTTCTCAAACTTGTATGCGTTGTTCCCCCTTTCCTTCTATTGTTTTTTTTTTTAAAACATTTTTTTAAAATTTGTTTTAAGTGCATTTCAGGTTACTTCAAAATGCCTGATAAGTAGTGGCATGCTGAGCTGTTCAAGTTTGTGGTCCATTGATTCCACCTACTTTGCTAGTGCCCATTGATGTTTCCAAAGAAAACTCTTGTATGTACAGTGTGTCACACTTTAATCTTGTAACCTCTTGTAATCTCTGTGTAGTAGAATTTGTTATCTATTATGGAGTTTAAGTCATAGAGTTTATTGTGTAACTATTTAGATGATTTTACAATAAGTATTTATAATTTTGTCCTCATTCATTTTAATCATATTTTCTTCATTTGGAAAAGAACTATGTTGGCCTCTGATTTTCCAAACACCTTACTTTGAGGAAATTTTACAAATTTGTATTTGCCTCTCTGCAATCTAAATTGGTTACAAGTATCCATGTAATTACTTGTCCATTTATCATTTGGCTTTTGCAAGATAATGAAAACTTGCGATTTATGGGAGTTGATGTGATGGGAGATGACTGGGGATATAAATTTCAAGAGAAACCAGCCCTCAAAGTGTTAAGAAGACATCCCTCATAGTTCAATAGATAATTTAAATCTACCGGTATGTATCAAAGCTGTCTTGCTTTGGCCAAATGGTGAATGCTCTTTGAGAATATTGTACAATTGAATTTGCCATAGCTTTAGGATATTACTGTAAATGTTTATACAGTTGTATTGTTAGTTTGAAAACTAGTCTTAAGCACATAATCCAAAGCTGTACATTGGAATATTATTTATTTTTACTCCATTCTGGGTTTTATCTGAGAGAATTATATTTATATTGTAAATTGAATGTCTATCAGTTATGATTGTACAATTGTGAGATTGTCGCACATGCTAAAAGTTGTTCTCTAAGGGCTGTTCGAACTTACCAGAACCCCTTGAAGAATTTACCATGCTTTTCAGCTTGGTGCTGTCTCAGTTTTGTTTACTACTTTCAATCCAAATAGCGGATGAGATAAATAGCTTTACAACTGTTACGCCACTGATTGGTGTTTACCCGAATTCCTAAACACTCTTGACTATCTGTGTGTGCCATGTATTAACATACATTATTTGTAAATGTGCCTCTAGGGTTTGCACAATATATTTAGATGACATGCATAAGCATATATTTTCATAGAATTTACCATAGATTAAATATGGTTTCTTAGGTTCAGACCTCTTCAGGTTTTGGTGTGCCAGTTTGCCAATTTATGTCCTTCTGTTCCCTTGAATTAGATTTTTTGTATATTTGCTGCTCAGTAATTAAGCTACCTGCTGTCTTCAGTGTGCTCTCATCTCCCTTAAACTACTCTTGCCAAGGTTTTGTACTTTTCGTTGTTGCTAGTGAAGATGCAAGTTTTGATGATTTTTTTTTCATCAGCCATAATTTCTATTGTTCTTTTATGTATATTGTATGTGATATTTGGTGTTTCAGTTCTTGGAGAAGCTTAAAATGTTCTTAGCGAACAAACTCAAAATCGCCCCATCAAAAACATGCTCAGGTCATAATCATTGAATTGGCGCCAACAACTTTTATTTAATTTTGGCATCTTAATTTTGTGCTGTACCTTAACCAACTAACATTCATATTGCCTTTCTACTTTGTGTATTCTATTTTGTATGGTTTTATTACATCTTCTTGCTATTGGGTTATTGTTTGGAGAGTAACCATACGACTTTGCTCTTGTTTTCAGTATTCATTACCATCTTAGTTTGTGAGCTCATTCACTTTATTCATAAAGCTGATGTACAGCATTTATGAAAAATTATCTTGTCAAGTGCACAACTCTGTACCTATCTAACTCGTCATTTGACTGACGTATGTTAACCTTCATGGATCTGATTCCTTTTATTTTCTATTGTATTACCATGATTGTGATTTCTTGCAAGATATTTGTGTTATCAATTAACATTGGGAATGAAGCCACTTGTTTGCATTTCAAAGGAAATTTCACACTGGATTTTGATGGGCTACTGTATTACCTTCTATTTGCGCACAAGGTCCACTTGTTTGCATGTTACATGGTGAAATTTAGGTAAGAAGTATTTCATGTTCATTGTATTCTCTTCTCTTGTTGATTTGTGTTCAGAAACTCTGTATTCAGATGTACTCAGCAGTAGCTTACTATTTTTATTTATTATTTTTGGGGAGAGCGCTCCCTCTGTTGAAATTGGTTGATTGTACTGGAGTTGAGTTTTGTACCGGCTAATGGGTGTCGCACCACATGTTCGGACTAGTGATGGTTCTTGTCTATAACCCACCCGGGAGAGAGAGAGACGAGTGGAGCCTGCTGCCGCACCCGCTAGCCCCGCCCAGAGCTCACTTCCAGATAGTACTGAGGAAGAGAGTTTTGTTTTCCAATCTAGATGAATAGAGATAAAGATTGACCCAACCATTTTATTGTTTTGTGGTCTCTGGAAAGAAGTGTCCAAATCTCAGCAAGTGGCAAAAAATTAGTGTTTTCTGTCTATTGAATGTTGGAACTAGATTACAGAAAATAGACTGGACTTCATCAACTCAGCACATTCTGTCCATAAAAATGAATCTCTTCATGTAATACTCACGGGATTGGATGTTGGAATGCTCATTGGAAGAGACTGTTTGTGTTACAGCAATAGACTGAGATGGTTGTTGATCTTGCAAGTCATGTCTATTATATTATATTGTCATGATGATGCTCTTCCATTCAATTTGCTGCCAAGAACAAGATGAATATCTATGAAACTTAAAAAAACAAACCAAAAACTTAAAAAAAAAAACTGAAAAGGAAAAAAAAGTACATTGAATTTCTTGTAATGATAGCATGATAAAAACTACAGTGTAGAGCAGTACTCCTAAGCAAGTATGTTAGGGTTTTGTCTTTCTGGATAACTAACTTAGTGTTGAATCATTCTTCTTACAACATAGCAAAATTTCTTTTAGTACATTTCTCTCTTTGTTTTATCCTTACCAATTTAGAAATTTTCATTCAGTTTCAGTGCATACCTTTTACATTTCAGGTGAAAGAATTGAATCTCTCGTGTCGGTGGTTTGTCAACCTTTTTACATGTACTTAACATAGCCTGCTGAATAAAGTCTGTTTAACACCAAAATTTGTGTTGCTCCATTCCTTAAAATGCCATTTAAATTTAAGACAAGAATTAAAAAAAGAAAAAGACAACAACTGAAGAAAATGCATTAAGTTGTGTGTTATTTGGTCATCATAAATTAGACATCCAATTGTGAGGATGAAACAGTCGTTCAAGTTGGATAAAGTGCAACTGTTTTAAACCAAGGTTTGGGAATGAGCCATAGTAATCATGCACATGGATCTGCCTCTAATGCATGGGTCTGAAGGGATGTTTTAAAGTTAGTTCCTAGCTTATCGACATCTGCTTCTTTAAGGAGACCTCTTGGCATAAATCCAAGTAAATTTTGAGCATGTTGCTGAAGAATATTTATTCGCTCTTCCTCAATCATTTTCTCCCTGGTTTAGAAAGAGTATGTCATGATTCATTACATGTATAATACAAAGATAGAAATAATACATGAAGCTAAACAATACCTGGCTTTTTCTTCCTCCAACTGGGCCTCATGGTCTCGCATGATCTGTTCAAGTTCAAGATTGCGGCGCACTCTCCTCTCCTTCAGAAGACGTTCAACAGCTTGTCTATGTTCTTGAACTTTAATTCGTCGACGTTCAGCAGTAAGTTGCTCAAGACGGTCTTGTATTGCTCTTTGCTCCATCAACTGATGGTGGTGATGATAATATTTTTATTAATGACTGTACTCCTAGTGTTACATTGTGTGTTTCCTTTATTTACATCTCACCTCTTGACGCATTTGCTGCTCCCTCTGAGCTTCCCGCTGAAGCTGCAATACTCTTTCTTTCTGTTGGTGGGCCATGGCTAAACGCAAATCAATTCGCTTTTGAATGGCAACATGTAATTCTTGGCGAATTCGAGCTTCTTGAGCTTCTCGTAATTCTTCTTCAGCCAATTCTTGAAACACTTGTTGTTTCTCCATGTCTCGCATCTGTTACAAAGAAATGTGTAGCTGACACGCATTTTGAACAAATAAATGAGCATGCCCTGTTAAGACGTTCACCTGTTCTTCATAAAGTTTCCTGGCAAGATAATCATTTATCTGAGCTTGAGCCTCCCATTTTCTCTGAATCTCTTGTTGAAGTTTGAGTTCTCTTTGAGTCTGCATTTCAACAAATGCTTTAATGCGAGCATTTTCTTCTTCTTGCATAAGTTTTTGCCTTTCTTTCCACTCTTCTCGTGCAGCTATGAAACTCTCAATATCCTTCTGACAAGCTTTTTGGCGAAGCATTTGAGCAACAGAGTTTCTTTGCAGGGGAAAAACAAAGAGCCAAAGTGAGGAGTCTTACTCTTTGATGGTTGAAATTCAGAAAAATCTACCATTTTCAGTTACCTGCGGTCTTCTTCGATGATCTGTTGGACAGCAGCATCCAGCATTAACTTTTCTTGTACAAATGTTCGATATGCTTCAATTTTGCGTTGTTGGTTTTGGACAATTTGATCCTGCTGTGCTAAACGTAAAGCATATTTTTCACGAAGACTCTCCTCTTTCAGTTTCCGATCTTCATCTTCCTGCTCTTTCCATGAAACCATTTGCGCCTCGAGATGAGCCTTCTCCCTGAGCTAAAAAGGACATATTTAAATTGTGTAGCAGAAGAGCAGATAGACCTGTATTTAAAATATAACTGCTTAATTTTCTTTTCCTCAAACCTCTTCTCTAATGTGTTGTAACTGTTTCTCCTTCATCTGGGCATGAACACCTTTTCCAACGTAACAGGCACGTAGTTGTGACTCAAGATCCCGTATTTCTTGGGTCCCAAGTCTTAGTTGCTGTCTGATGTTGAATGGATTATTCATTAATTCATTGGTAGGCAAACATGAAACAATACTGAAAATATCAGCACATTCCTTACTTCATCTTTTCCCTACGTATCACTTCATCAGCATTGAATTTTTCACAGAATTTATTCTGTTGCTCAAATACCCTTTTCTCTGCTTGTTTATCTTTTCTTTCTCTTTCCTAGAATAAAAAATAACTAAAACAATGAAACTAGAGTTATGGTGCAATGACCTGATTTAACATTTTCTAAATATGTGTTTAATGCGGAACAAAGTTGACCATATAAACGGAGAAAACACAATAGCATCTGAAAATTTTTCACCTGAAAAATAGATGTCTCAAGCTTTTCTTGATGCTTTTCTAACTGCAATCGCCTTGAGAGGCGTGAGTCGTTTCCTTTGCGAAGAATATCTTCCAACAACTGTTCACGTAGATCAGCATATTGTTTTTTCTTTAGATCCTGTAGTTGGTTTTCCTCTTCGTTAACTAGCTAATAGGAAAAAGGCAAAAACATTAACTTGTTTTAAGTGATAATAAGGCACACCTGATACCTAAACATACCATTTTGATAGATTCTGCTTCACGTTACGAAGTCGCGGTAAATGTTCACGCCACTGATTTATATGTATGCTGAATATATGCTGGAGATGGTGTTGTTGTCTTGCATGATGCCATCACGAAAAAACGTCAACATACACTCATTCGGCACCTGCTACCGCTGCCTGACACTTGCTCCAGGCACCGTGCTCGTGAGCACGTCGGACACGCGACAAAATTTGAATCCAGAATCAGCATAAAAGGCTTAAATGAATGTTATCGAAACATCTTTTTTCCTAAACTGTTTCAATTTGGTAACAGCTTTAATAATGTAAGCTGATCGAAACACACCGGACGCAGATGTAGCTGACATTTGAATAAATGCGGTTTGCTTCAGGTTGCCTAGCAACGAAAGAAGACGTGAGGAAGAATGAGAGATCTGTGGTGGTGTGTGAGTGAGGGTTTTCTGCAGGTTCTGCGTCTGAGATTTGAAGTTTAAGTTGCTTCTCTTCACAAAATGTGATATTTTTTCTTCAAAGTGTAAAGAATGCTTTCCTGTACTGACAATCGTAATGACAAAACTCCCAAACCAACTAACGAGGTTATCTTCAGAAATGTGAGACCTCGCTATAAGTTTCAAAACAAGATTTCTGTCTTGTACGTCCTGTCCCCAAAGGTTTGTATTTTCGATAGTTTATTCCTTTCGAGGCTCGTAATAGTTTTCTTCTTCGCTTGTTCTATCTGTCTTCTCGAATGTTTCTATTCTATGGTTCTATTGATAATTACTTCAGATCAATTTAAAAAAACAAAAAAAAAACACCCTTGCCTATTAAGTGTTTCTAGTTAGTTTTGTCCCCATGCTTTTGTATTTGCTCGTCTACAATAAAAGTCTTTAACTTTCTGCAGACTAAGACATCTACCCGTGACTATGTTGGAATCTATCCTCGTGGCTGGAAACAATTGCGCGAGTTTGTGGGCTTTGAACGTCCCATCCCAGCACCGTTTGAAGAGCAATCTCTTGATAGATGTATTCAATTTATTTGTCAGCGCCCCCATGTAATGGCTTCTTTGAACAGAGATTACCAGTTTTTGTATGTGAATCAATATCATGAGGTACGACAATTGAACTTAAAAAAATACCCAAATATTGGCTTTTTGAGAAAGAAAAATACTGATTGCATTCAAAAACTCCTGATCTTTTTTCTAGGTTTTAGGAATGAGTGATTTCTTTCAGTTTGTTGAAGAAGTCACAAGTAACTCACCTGAAAGTTCTGCTGGGTGGAAAGAGAGTAAGATGTGCGAAGAAAATGATTCAGAATGGCATGAAGAAAACAGTCCAACTGCTATTTTTGAGAATCTTCGTCAGCACGTGTCAGAAGCTGAATATGCTTACAATACATGCTATTTTGTGAACAATCAAGCCAAAGCTAACCAAGAAGTCACTGTATCTCCCAATGTAGGCTATGGATGTTTAGACGAAGCCACCAATCCTTGTTATGTTATGCCTATAGAATCATCTGAGTGTAGATTTAGCTCTGATGAACCATCTTATCAGAACTCAAGGATCTTACCGGAGCCATATAATGTAAGTTTTGAGTCATGAAGTTGTTGTATTGTTTGTCTTGGGTTCTTGAGTCTGACTCAGTCATTTACAGAAACCAAGAAAGGGTCGTCCTTTGGTCAAAACAAGAGATGGTGGCTACAGGGAATACCAAAATGCTCCAGATTCAACTCCTATGAGTCACCAAACTTACTCTAAAAATCGATGTATTGGTCCACCCCAAGATGTAGCCCTTTCCCCCAAGTGGATGCCTGGCAGTACTTGGCATTATCAACCAAAGCATTCTTCAATCACGGTAAAAGCCACACCTTTTCATTAGTACACATCATTTTTTAAAAAATTTATTTCAATTTTTTAAAGATTGCGGTTTTTACACAGCAAATGTCACAGTTTCCAGGCCGAAAAGACACTAAGAGAGGTGCCATACCAAAGCAATGCCCAAAGTGTCACGTCCCATCTGACTACTACTACCAGCAACAAATAAAGCAGCATGATGTATGTTGTTGATATTCTCATAATATGTTAAAGTTATGGTAATGACAGCCTTGACTCTCACATTATTTGTTTTTTTGCAGTTGGACCAAGCCCATGAACAAATTCGTGATTTGAACACAACTGTTGATCAATTGCAGCATGAACTACAACTCAGTTATGCAGCTCAGGCCAAGCTCAAAGCAGTTGCTGAAATAGCTCGGACAGAGTCCAAAAATGCTCTTTCCTTCTTAAACAGCCGAATGTTGTCTACCATTGCCCAGTATAAGACCAAAGTTGTAAATGTTGACAACACAATGGTTTGTAAAATAAGCCTTTGAGCAACTACATTGTGAAAAACAGTTCTAGTTCAATCGTAGTCTCTTTTCCGCTCTGTTGCAGATGTATGTAACAAGAGATCTTGAATCACCTGGGTGGTTTGCTGCAGGAGATCCCTCTAAAACTTTCCTCTTTGGGAGACCTCCAAATGTTAGAGTGGTGTCTGGCCGAGAAAAAGAATTGAAAGCCATAATTGGACGTCAAGAAATGACCATTCGGAAATTGTATAATGATCTCAAACTTGCTACCAGCATTATTGTAAGAGCTTTTTTTCTTGGCCTAGTGCCTGCTTACTTGTCTGCATAAGATAGTTCAACATGCCTAAAAATTTCTTAATTATAGGAATGTGCCAATCTCTCCAACAACAGCAGTGATTACAAAGAGACAGAAAAGGACTTCAAATCTCTTCAATTTTCCTGCTATGTGGAGGGCGGCTCCTCTGGACTTATGAAGGACGACTGCACCATCAATTCAACATTTGACGCCTCCAATGATACCAAGGTTTGTTATGTTATTCATTTTGGCATTAGATCAGGAGAGAACTTTTCTCAACCTACCCTAATATGAGTTGCTTTGACACGTCACCAAAGGTGAAGAAAAGTATGGAGAATGGTATGGAAATGCATCCTCAACCTGAAGAAAATAAACAAGCAAATGCTAAGTCTGATGAAACTTTATGTCCTTCCCCCATTGAGCCTGAGTCTTCCAAAAGCTTGTCAGAGAAAGGGAAGGAATCTTCAAATGATTCTTCACATGTATCGGTTGTTGAGCCAAGCTACTACCAATTGGACCCCATGCAGTTTTTGGTAATTTAACTTCAATGTTCTTGCTCTATCAATGAAACTCTCTATTTTGTTCGGTTGATGTAATGTTTTTTTTCTTTTTGCCCACTCTAGAATCGAGAAGTTATCTTTGATGATGACAAACTCTCTATTCCCTCTGAAAATGAAGATCATGTGCCTCTGACAATGAATGAGACAAATAACAACAATTATGACACTAAAAATTTAAACTCAGATGAAGAAGGAGGTAAGTCAAAATGTACTGTTTGTGAGTCAACATCTGGAAGTAGCCATGACAGCATATCAGCCGAGAACTCCAACTAATTTATGAATGCAACTGCTAACATTGGTCCAGTATTGAGAATTTTAGTATTTCTGATGTGCAATGTGATTGATTGATACACTATGTGCAGATAGCTTAACATTCCCAAGTTTTTCAGCCATGAAATGTGATCTTACTCTGAATGGAATACATTTGTACTTTTACAATATGTTGTCAGATTGTTGAATACAGCCAGCTAGAAGCTTAAGAAAGAAAAAGGAGAAACTAAAAGATTAACCACATGATTACCACTTTGACATTGCAAAACTTATTCCTGTATTACTTTAAACATTCCTTTGTTTATGTTATTGTGTTTACAAAGACTGTAATTCTTAAACGTTTAAGAATTTGTTTGATCAGATATAAGGCTGTTGGTGTTACTTTGTTGGAGCGATTTTCATTTTAAAGCGTACCTTATATAAATACTATTTTAGGTAAATGAGATTGGCACTGTTATTGTGCTTCACAATACAGTGTTCGATGATTATAGTAACAAGGCTGGATTTTGGTCATACCAAATTCCATTTTTCAATGTTGATCTATTATTAGCGAAGTAACTGAGATCCAGAGACTAATTTCAACTATAGGGTACTTTTGCTGTCAAATCTAAGTAAAGCTTTGAGGAAGGGCAATTGAAGTAGTCATAACTGTTACCATTGTTCTGTTCTTTTTTTTTTTTTTTTGTTTTGAAAAAAAAGAAAGAAACATGTGCCTGCTCCAGTAGCAACTTTGTAGTCTATATATTGATGTGCTCAGTGATAATGTTTTGGATCTAAATTATCATTTAAGCCAAATTGAATGTGTTGCATCCTGGAATATTTTTTGTAGTGCTCAGGTTTTTCTTGCGTGATTTGTTTGTAAATTGAATTTTGGTTTCATGCCCTGTAGGGTCGAGGGACAAGTACTCATTTCTTCCCCTCCTGTTGTTTTTAAAATTGTTTCTATTGACAGTTTTGTATCTTAGAACTTAAAATTGTAAACATATAAAAAAAGAAAACAAAAAAAAATCCACTTCTACTTTGTTTATGTGTGGTTTTATTCTGGTCTGAGAGTAAGGTTTCTTCTCTCTCTTTATAATAATAATAATAATGATTGTCAGAGTGTATACTCTTTCACGTAATGCTGTAGCCTTCCCAATAATGTTTGATGTGAGATATATACATTATTTACAGGGTGTGTTTTTTTAGGCAATTCAGTCTTCAGCAGTATTTGATGTACCAGAAATTGATAGTGTCCTCAATGTTTTGTCCTGTAAGGCATTTTCCTTCCTATTGGTTGAAGAAAAACGCATGCATCTGCTGCCTTTGAGTGCCCAACAGTTATTCCTACAGTCAGGCACTATCACTTTCTTCTGGCTTAAGGGATGCACACATTATTTGTCTGTGTCCTGCTTGGTTTTGGTCGATCAAGGTTATCTTAGTATCAAAGTTTTTTTCACTAATTGCACAATTTTCTTTGTAATTTCTGTGATACTTAAGTATGCCAAAAAAGTATGCTATCTAAATTAAGAATATTTTGGCCACTGTATAGTTATTATTGTCCTTCTTCCTACTTATTATATTGAGCTGTGTTTCATATCAATCTTGTCAAAAGTGTATCTGCCAAATCAGCACCCATTTGCAATGTTGTATTTTTCTCAATTTTTGATAATTAATGTGCTCCTATCATGTGTTAGGTTTTTATATTATGATCTATTTCAACTTTGAAAAGCATGATGATTGCATATAATAGTTTGAGGACTGACCTAAAGAACTGGAATGCTTTGTGGGTGTTTTGCTTTAACAGAGTAAGAGGGGTACAAAGGAAACATTGGGGTTGTTTTCATGTTATTGTTAATTCTTAGAACCAAGCAATTGTCTGAGGTAATTTTGTGATTCATGTGTAAGTTTTCATGGTAATGCAAGGTAATATCACATTTTGTTGTTTTCTAGTCTTAATCCTATCTTCGTTGCATTATGTTCATTAGTGAAAATGGTTTAGCTTGTTATGCTTGCTTCAACATTTGTATTAATTATGAATACAATCCCTGCCTCAAAGAATAACTTATGGGATTCTATAATAATGTATAACTTAGGATGAATACTAAATCGTATGCCTTGTCAAAAATTTATACAATGTAGAAATCAAAGTAACAATGAAAGCTTAGTCAATGTGTATGTAGAGAGAGCTAAATTCTTCAACTTCTGTTTTTTTTGGTTTTTTTTACAAATTTTTGACAATGCCTAGTTTTAAAACATGATACTTATTTGGGAATTTTGAAGGGGAAGCAACACACACACACACACAGCATTTCTAACACATTCCATACGATAACAATCTAGCAGGAGTGTAATCTTGCAGCTGTATTCTTGTTCTGTGTTTGTGCCCCCCCTGCTCAAGAAGTTAAGTTCGAGTCGGTAACAGTAAATTTCATTCAATTTCTAATGATTAGTTGTATTTTCATGGCTGTTCAATTTATTTATTTTTAGTTTTGTATTCATGTTCTTTAGCTCTCTTAAGAACTGGAACTTGAATGTTGTTTCCACTAGTACAAAGTAATATTTTTTTACACTAGTCATGAGTTGTTCATCACATGGCATGTGCTGCTTAAACAAAGATAGATATTTGAAACATTATCATTCTATTTAGGTTTTAACAATTAAAGGAATGTTAGTTTTGTTGTTGATTTTGTTTCATTTTTTATCTATGGGATCAGTACATGTAAATTGTAAATTTTACCACATAATTCTTTGTGCAAAAGAAGAAATGTGGATTTTCATATTTTGGAGGACCCTCCTTTGCTCAAAGTTTTGAATTTGAATGTGTATGTTCCAGGCCTATTTTTAACATTGTTATTTCTCTCATTAGCTTAAGAACAGTGCCAAAGTTTTCACAAATTGACAGTATTTTTGACTTAGTCTGTGAATTTATCTCCTTAACATACGCTTGTATTGATAGGTAAATTGAAGTTGGATTGCTATCACCCTCTGCTTTGCCAATTTTATGACTCCTGTAACTGGTGTTTTAGTTGTCAACCACTTTATCATAGTAAAATAAACCTGAGAAAGGAAAAAAAAGTCATTTTTTGCAATGACACAAAAAAAAGAGGGGGAACGGATAATTAGCTTGTAATGAAAAAAGTCCTTCTATTGTTCTCTTTTTTATGGTAGCAAAGAAAATAGATTGTATGCATTTGTGACTGCATTGACAACTTTTTGTCAACAAAAATGCAATTGTTTGTACAGTTGAGTTTCTGTAGTTTAAACCAACAGCTTGGTCACCCTTAATATTATGACAATAATGTCCTTGACACTTTTTGTAATCATAATTCATATCATTTTTTATCAACTCATGTATTGGGTGATTTCGTTAGACCGAAATAAGAGGGACAGTGAAAGGGGTTTCGGAGTCTTTTCAAGCATTTTTCACATTGGGACCAATAGTTGCAAATACCCCACCTATAAGAGTGTTAAAGTGTTAGGCCTGGTGGGTAGGCAGCCAGCCTTGAAGACCCAATTTGAAATATACTTGTCTAGGGATCCTTCATTGACCCTCGCACTTTGGGCCAACTTACCGCAATTCCCTGTAAAAGCAATGCTGAGGCTTTTCTCTCCTAGTTCTTGTCCTTCAAGAACTTCTATATTTGTGTAACCTCTAAATGTTTCTGTTTGCATGTTCTCTCAAAAGTATTATTTTCACTGTATGTTAAGCACAAAAATTTACTAGAAAATGGTTATTTAATGTGGTTGTGTGCAAGTGAGTTGTGAAATTAGATCTCTTATTTACTGTGGTGCATGAAGGTCATCCTCTCTTGTTTCTGCACTTCCTCTTTTCTTCAAGTATCAAAATATATTATGTGGCTTCCAATTGATGCTTGCTAAGTCTGTGCTCTGAGTTAATTTAATGACTGTTTTATGAAACTGCTGTCTTGTTAATGAAAGACTGCTCACTAAGTATTTGTTGCCATTTAAAAACAAATCTTATAGAGAGGTGATCATTTCCTTAATTCCCCCCCCCCCCCCCAAGTTGTTGGTTCTTAAAAGATTTTAAACTTTGTACCTCTAGTAAAATGAGAGGAAAAATTTAAATAATTGAACTGATTCATTATTTTATGACATTTTTCTGTTGAGTGATTGTTTTACGTAATGGCTATCTTTATCCATGATGATATCCTAGTCTTTAAGGTTCTGGCCCTGGTTTGCATCCATTTCAAGATATATTGGAATCCTCTGTAATATCTAATTTCTAAGAGTGTGTGTTCATTAAATGTTTTTTAGTCCACTGCAAAGTTTGCACATACTGCTCAGCAAAAATTTAGGTCAGTTTCTGATTTCTACCTATGCTTTTTGAGTGCTTTGTTTATTCCTGTTTGGTATCTTGTTATATCTGTGTCCTCCTAGACCATTGTTTGCTTGGACAACAGTGGGACCCTGAATGCGTGAGATCTTATTTTTCTCTTGCAAGCAGTGTACTAAAACTATTTAGTCTTATGAATATACATTAATGTAGTATTCCTGACATCTCATTTACCTGATGTCTGTTTTCTGTTATCTTAGTCTGTTGTGTCGGATGATGCCACAGGAAGATGTGTCCTAGATGATGAAACTTTTACCTTTCCTGTGTTTGGTAGGTGTAAGAAGCTTAAAGGGAAAATGTTCCCTGACACGTTGTAGTTGTATTTGTGCTGTAATGAAAAGTACTGTGGAAGTGTTAGTAATAACAATTAGCATTAATCGTCTGAAACTCCCAGAAAAACCTTGACTTCACACAATGAGAATTACTTTAGAAGTTTAGTGGAATGTTTCCGTAAGCAAGGCACATTTTTTTTCCTTTCTTACTTTTGGTTGCATTCATGTAGCATTTGTTATTGTGATGCTTCAGTTGATATTTTTTGTAGGAATATGAGACATAGATGCTCAACTGTAAACATTATTATTAATATTATTATTTGCATTACTTTTTTGTTTTCATCTCTTGCTTTAGTTTATATTGTTGAATGTTAAAGGATTGAAGAACTATAAATTTAAAACACTTTACTTGGCAATTTTTGGTTCTAGCTCAATTCTATCAAATTGCATATTAGTTTCATAAAGATGTTTCTTGCGTTTGTTTTTATTATGTATGTTTGTCTAAAGATTAAAAGTTGTTTTTTCTTTGTACACATGTTTGTTAACATTTTGATCAAACATACCCCATTGAGTCAGTATTTCAATGGGACTACTTGTTCTTCAGCTTCATAGATTCTCTGTTGGATGGATTGTTTTTTGTTTTGTTAGGAAATTCAGTGTTCAAAATGTCCCCTTCTCCTTTCTTTTTTCATTGGCAAACACTGTTGTGTCCTTAATTCTGTTACTCTTTTATTTGTTAAACTTATCTTGACTTTATTCTCCAATGGCAGTGTCTTTTAATGCTTACAAGTTAAATTATGTATTAATAACGACTTAAAAATAAAATCTTTGAGAAAGTTATTGATATGCTTTTTCTGGTCTTTCTTTATTATACTCCTTAGTTCCAGGGTTTTAAATCCTGACACAAAGTGTTTCTCCCTTCGTGCCTAGTCCTTTCATGAATTTATTGCAGCAGAATTGCCATACCCAATAGTGAACCACCATATTATATTTTCGTCAAACCACATGAAAAGAGATCTGCCATCCCGCATGGCGCAGTTGAAGTATTATTGGCAGAGGCAGAGTGGCTTCTGATTTGAGTTCAATGAGGACATGAGGAAAACGTCAGTTATCATCAGGTGTTGGAAGTTGGGGGGTGAGGCATCATACTAGATGATACTATGAACAATTCTAATGCCATCAGTTAAGATGGTTTCAAAATGTACTCGGGCATTGTTCTAAAACTTACTTTAATCAAAAGAAAACAAAAAGTAAATGCTTATAAAGCTATTGGACTTCATGAACACACTTCTGATCTGGAAGTGGGATTCAGATTTATGAGCTTGTTGCTGCTTTCTGCCAGGTCTGCAATGGAGACCCTACCTCTTTGTTTGACAAACTTAGCTACAGACTCCAATTCCTCTAGTGAAATGTAGATAAATTTTCCTCTGTCATCAATGACACCTGAAAATTAATACAAAAATATAATTCTAAACAAAGTCTTTTGAAATCCTCTTCAACTTTTCAAACCACATAACAAAATGATAGAACATACCAGTGAGAATTCCATCATTCTGTAGGTCTTGTATTCTATCAATGACATTCTGAGTCTTCAATCTGAAAAGTGATGCTAGGTCTTCCAGCACAACCACCTTTTTGTCCTGTAATTAGACATAGAAATACTTGACCTCCACAAAGGACTACAAAATTATGAAAACAATGAATTAGAGGTAGATTTTAAGGACTGACCTTGATGTGTTTGACAAATTCTTGTAACAGATTAGTTTCACTTTCACCTTCACCCTCCTCAAAACCTTCCTCTTCAACACTAAACGCAGCTTTCATTTTTAAATACTCTTCATGATCCTTTCTCTCCTGTTCTTCACGAGCTTTGCGCTCCTCTTCCTCTTGTTTTTTTTCTGCTTCAGCTTCCTTTTCTCTCTCTTTTAGTCGTTCTTCATCTTGTGATTGCTGCCTTAATTTACGTTCTTCTCTTTCCTGTTGCTCAGCCTAAAAATAACATGAATGATAAACAGCAGTACAAACATAGTGTAGGATACATGCAGTATAATTTTAAACAAAGAATGACCTCAAGTTTAGCTTTACGATCTGCTTTCGCTTGGAGCTTGGCCATCTTCTTGGCACCAACTTTCCCGTCTGGGAGTTCAATCCTATCCATTGGATCATTACCATCTTCATCTGATTCTGCGTCAGACTCATGTTGTGCTACTGCTGGCAAAAGTAAAATAAACATCAACAATTTATTTAAATAGCCCTTTAAGAGCACATAAGGTGGGCAATATTCTGAACAACTTTGTTGCACCTTGTCCTCGATTACGCTGACGGACTCGGGCAGCCTGAGCCCTTCTGGGGCCGGGGCCAGCTTGTCCACGGGCTGCTGCCGGTGCTGCTGTGGGCCTCCCTGCTGGAGAGTCAAACGAGGAAGGGACAACGTAAAAGAGTGGGACAATGCGATTCAACGTCGACCTATATTTGCTACATGACATTGTTAGTTTCTGTACTGGGCATTCCATCAGAAACCAGAAATTAAGTAAAAATGTCAAGAAAAAGAGGAGAAATTATGAATTGAAATACACAATAAGGAGCAGCAGACAGGTGGACTGAGTCTAACACATAAATAATAGGTACCTCCTTGAGATTTTCTGCTTTGAAGATACAGTAATCCGAGAATACTCAACACGATAACTACTACTGCAATTAATCCACCTATGACAGGGTCCATTTTAAGTTGGGTAATGTCACCATACGCGGAGGAAACAACATAAAATAACCTGTACACACAGAACAAAACATAAAGAGACAGACGACAGACGACGTCAAACGTCAACAGTCGACAGGTCGATAGACAGATCGACTGCAGCTTCGAGTCTCGAGAGCCTCGAGTTGTCGAGACAGTCGAGAGTTGTCGACGCGCGAAGAAAAGCGCCAAACAAACCAAATATTCGTTTGGAAGTTCATCACACCACAGCACTTCTTGAACGACAAGTTGTTAACTCTGGCTAACTCAGACTGATTCCGTTCAGAATTATCGTTGTGAAGTGTTAAGTCTAGTATTGAACACAATCTTACCTTAAACCGAAGCATATTTCAACAATCGTTTGATACATAACCTTTTACAAATTTATTTTACAGGTTGTATTTGTACTCCCCTCACATAACAACATGGACCAAGTGATCGTTTTGTCAAGCAGTGATGAAGATGAATGTATAAGTGATGCTCCTTCTGCTTCCCAAAAAATAGAACAAGATTCATCTCTTCTTCCTCAAGTAGACTGTGATGATTTTGATAACTTTGATTATGGGATTTTAGATAGAGATGAAGTATTGTGCTTACCTTCAAAAAACAACTCCTCATCTGGTTACTCGCCCTATCTTGGCGGGTTGGTGACAAAGAAAAGCTTCATGTTGTATTGGGTTTCTTGCCCATTGCACTTGTTTTCATAATAGGTAACACGTTTTTTCCATTCCAGACAGCGAGATAAAGTTCGTAAAGCCCATGATCTTTCTGACTCAGATGATGAAGAAAATGTGTGAGTACATCTGACCTTATTCCTGCTTGAACCTTGATTTTATGAACTGTCAGTGTTTCTTCCACTTATGTTCTGTATATGCTTTGCAGCAACAAGCAGAGCAATACTAATGAATCTTCTGATGATGAGCTACCAGACCTTGACATAGACTTAGGTCCCAGTACTAGCGCAGCAAAAAAGGATGGGAAATCTGCAGAACTGAATTTACGAGCTTGTGAAGAAACACTGCCTGAGTCAAAATTGGTGTGAAACTCTCACAATCTTTACTTGTAAGGTACCTACTCTCTTGTTGCAACTTCTATTGAACTGTGTGCATCTCTTTTTACTTCCCAGGGACGACAGCAGAAAAGGGAGGAAAATAAACAGCTTAAGCAACTTGAACGTGCCGAGAAAGCAAATCAGAGGCAAGCTTTGCGGCAAGAGAGAGAGCAAAAGAAAAAGGAGGCTGCTCATGCCAAGGCCTTGAAACAAGCTACAGCGGAAGTTGGTCGATCCAAGAAGCCTGGAGAGTGTCTTAAGGTATATAAAAGTAGCTCTATTACATTTAAAAAAATATATCATGTTATTTACCTTGCCTGTTTGTTTCCCCTACAGTGGGTTACTTGTATTTTAGACCCAGGCCTGCTCAAGGCAGACTACAGTGGTGAGCTTTTAACTGCTTTAAGGACCTGTGAAATTGAGTATAAAGTAGAGGACTGTCTCATCCCAAATTCAGTAACATGGGAAAGGCGTATCCAGAATGTAACGGTTGATGATGACATGACTGTAAGTTCATTTTCAGTACCTTTCATGCCTTTTTGTTTTTTGCTTAGTCAAGGATACTATTTTTCATCATATAATCCTGCTCTAAACAGGTGCAGAGGGCTATTACGATTCAAAATGAACCATTGGTCTTGGTAGTTTGGATGTGGAACAAAATTGTGGAAGAAATTCACAGTAATCAATTACTTCCTAGTGTTGAAGAAATTCTATCGCTGCTACCTGGCAGAGACTTAACCATAGCAATTTATGGACTTGAAGATTATTTTAAGTAGGATGACTGGAGCAATGTTCAATTAATTTACTGTTAAATATTTGTTTTGATTTTTTAATTAATTTGTTTCATGTGTCTTTCTTTGGAAGGTTTCAAAAGACCCAAAAGAGAAGGGATATTCGTTCTGATGTCCTGGGAACTGGACCATCTAAGAAAAAGGCAAAAGAAGGTACATTTGAAGCAGCTCCCACTGTTTCTCGGTAAATATACCATTTGTGCTATTTGAAACTTCAATGGAACAGGCTTCTTTTCTTCACTGTTTAAATTCTTGACATTTCTAGGGGTGATGTGGAGTATGCTCTAGCAGAAGTCCAGATTAAATGGGGCATTAGCCATCGCTGCATTAATTCCAAGATCGATATGGCAAATTTAGTCTGTCAGCTTACTAAGGCAATTGCTGAAGCACCTTTTAAGTAAGCCCTAGGTCCATACATGTGAGAATTCAGTTACTTGACATCCTATTTTTCATTCAATCTGTTTTGATTTTTGTTTTCACAGACAAGAGAAACATAAGAAAGATGCTGACCGCCTTGATTGGTATGCGTTAGGTGATTCCAAGGATTGTGTTGTTGTGGATAAGGAGGGAAATGGGTCATTGCAGCTTTGGCAACGCCAACTTTGTCAGTTTCCTCTAGCATCTCGTGAAACTTCTGAGGCTATAGCATCAGTTTATCCATCTCCTATTTCACTCCTACAAGTAAGTAACATTTCAAGTGTGCAAACATGTGCACTTTGTTGAAAGTTATTTGTGTTCTTTCTTTCTGCAGGCTTATGAAAGATGTTCTAAAGAGGAGGAAGCTCAGCTGCTCCTAGAGGATATTCCTGTAAGATTTCTATTTTGAATAGCTTTTCTTGAGTTACAATATATTTTGCTAACATGTATTAAAAGCCACTTTGTTTTGTTTATCAGGTACGTAGAGGTCCTGGGCCACTATCTACTGCTAGACGAATTGGTCCACAGCTAAGTAAGAAGATACACACATTTTTCACAACATTTGATGAAAATTCCCTAATTGCTCCAGACTGATTTCATTTCTTGTAAAATAGATCAACCAATTCAGCATGAAGGACAAATAAAGTTAACTGGCCAAATGATAATGGAAAGAACTTTTATTGAACACATCCTATGCTAATTTAAAAGTTCCAAATCATCCTCATTCAAAATGGAATGTCATCTTTCCATAATTGTTACATACACATTCCAATTGTAAACGAGACCATTTCTAAATCTAAGCAAACAACAAATGCTATCTCAATCATAACCCTCCGTGATTAACAAAATTATAAATCCTCACTGCCCCATGTGCATTTTAGTCAAATCAATAGTTACAAATTAAAAATAACACTTTATGCAAGGCTCTCTGAAGAATCAAATTCATAAGGGTAACAAGATTGCTCACAAAAATCAACAACTCATTTTTTTATACTCAAATACAATTCAACGTAAAAGAAATATTTTTCTTTATAAAACAAAAGTAGCAGTGAGTTTGTTGTACTCATGCTCACACCAATCAGTTGAATACTCAAGCACACTGAATTTATGTACAGTTATTGACAGTTATTAAAGCCAAAAGAGGCGTCAATTACTTTGTCGGTCTTCTTGAAGGTTCAGATGCAGTTGGTGGTGGCGGTGGTCCTCTTTTGTCAAGTTCCTCCAGATAAGTCTTGAGCAGCCTTGTTCTTTCATCTGGCATATAGTCCAAGATTAAATACCTCTTGTCCTTTTTAAGAATCTCTTCAATTTCTTTGAGGTGAGATTCATTTTCTTGCACCATCTTCAAGGACTTGTGGGTTATCAGTTTCGTTTCCTGAAAAGAAAAAATCGAATAATAATGTTACAATTTGTAAAATACAGAAACATTGTAAGCAAAAGTTAAATGCTATGAGAATAAGAAAATCACCTGTAAAAGCTCTCTAAATTCGGCTTTAGCTGCCACCAGCTTATCCTTCAAATATTCTTTGAACTCTCGCTCACATTTCTAGAAGAGCAAATTCTATTAGAAAGATTCTAAAAAAAAAAAACGAAGTGGTATGCAATAACAATAACAACTTACCCTGTCACTAGAAGAGAACTTGGAACACCGTGGATCATCCTTAACAGACTTTTTAATGTCTTTCCAGGAACTTGTCAATGTTAAGTCCGAAATCTCACCTAGCATTTCCCTGCAGGAAGACAAAAAGGAGGATACATTTGACAGAATCATCACAAGTGTGTTGCTGATAAAAACCTTAGAATTACCTGAATTTATCTCTCTTTTTGTTACCAAGCTGTTCAACATGTGCCATAAACAGTTTTTCTTTCTCATCTCTGTCCAGTAGCTCTGCTAATTCCCACCTAGAATCTTTGCGCAGTTGCCGTTTAGCTTCTTTCCATATGAGGTCTGCATTTCTAACCTAGAACAGAAATTAAACATTGGTGGAAAATCAAGAACTGATTCAGAATTCAGTGTCAGCTGGTTTAATACTTGACTTACCAAGTCTGCAAGCAGGGCATTGAAATGTTGAACAGCCTCATCATGCTTGTGTTGCTCACGCTCCTTGTCTCGGTCACGCATGTGTGTGGCTAATGTCCTTTGAACTTCCTTTTCACGCTCTCTCAAACTTGCTTGTACTCGTGCTTGTTTATCTTTGTCACGTTGCTCTCTTTCACGCTCATCCTCAGAATGATTGTCCTGAAGAAGATTAAAAAAATGAGAAGATGCAGGTATGGAAAAGAGTCCATTCAGAAAAAAATCATAGGTATTAACTAACCTCACTACCTCTCTCATCATCATCATCATCATTTTCACCTTCCTCCTTCTCCTCCTTCTGCTTCTCTTTATCCTTGTCCTTGTCCTTGTCTTTGTCCTTTTCTTTTTCCTTTTCCTTGTCATCTTTTTTTTCTCTATCATCCTTGTTCCTATCCTTATCGCGGCTTCTATCCCTATCTTTGCTACGCCTCCTTTCCTTGCTCCTCCTACGCTCCTTTTCTCGTTTCCTTTCTTCTTTCAGGTGTTTAATGTGTTCTCGGAACCAATCTTCACGTTGAGTGCTCGAGTCCACGGCGCGATATCGAGAATCGCTCTCAATCTGCTTCTTTGTGTCACTCCAGCGGGAATGGCGGTCAATTTCTGAACGCTCCTTCAGCATTTCGAAGAACTCTCGTTTTGTCTGCCACAAGAAATTTTAGCATATTAAACTTAAGGTTCAAATAATAAATTAACTCAGAACTTGCCTAACTTTGATAGCAACTGTCTTTCAACTCTTCATTCCCACCATATAGAGTGAAGTTATTTGAGAGATAAGAAAAGTACATTCTCTTTGATGGACGGGACGAAGATTGCAAGACAAAAGACAAAGTTAATGCAAGTGGGAAAAAAAAATTGCAGAACAACAGCACCACTGATCCTGAAAAAAAGTCAATTATTACAAAATTCATTTTGTAGAATGCGTTATAACTTCTTTACAATCCCATAAATTGATTGATCTAACCAAGCACTAAAATGAATTTTCCGGAGTACTTTCTTCTGAAAACAAACATTTTAACAAAGTATGGAATAGTCTGGAGAGTGCAAAGAATTCTAGTATCTTGGCCACAATCGAACAGTAGAAAAACATTTATTCCTGCTTTGAGTTTATGCAACTGGGGCCTTAAAAAAGACAAAGTTGTGTCTTTCCAAAACCAGAAAGTTCAATTATTATGTTTAATTAGTCAATGTAATCATACAAATTTGATATGCTTCCAGGGAAAAATTTACAATCTAACTTGCATTCTCAAATTTTTAAGTCAACTTCCAGCTATTATTGTCTTTCTTTTCTTTTTGTTTTGTGCTTATAAGACTGAAATCTTAGCAAACAAAGCAGATGTTAATTAAATCAGGACTTTTGCCTGAATGCAATGTAAAGATTCCAGGCACAATAACACTTGACAAATCTTGTGTCTAAATACAAGCCAGACACTGATTGTCAGAAAACAGCTAGGCTATGTACGTAAATCAACTAGGCAAGCCTCCAAAGACCTGGTGCTCTTTTACAAGGTGAAAATCAGTTATGAAGAAGAAACTCCTGACAATATGCAGAGTGAACTGATTTGATCAGAAAAGCAAATGAATAATTTTGGCACATACCATAGATCACCAGTTCTTTGATAGGCTTAACAGAGCAATCTGAAAACATGTGCAATTTTGAGTTAATGTCTGATAAGTTAACAACTTAATTGGTGAGATAATGTTATCAAGTAGAGATGGCTGGTAACAGAATGGAGAAAGCATATGCAAATTTCTATAATGCAGGTTCATAGATGACAAACAGTACAAAATTGACACATGTTTCCAGAACACATATTCTAAGTAAAATTTTAAGTTCAAAAAGCAAAAACCTTTAACTTTTCTTTCTTTACACTACAAGAAATTGTTAGGGATCTTTTGACAATTATTTGAAAATCTGAACAGTAAGTAGTGGTAAAATGTATCTTACAAATAAGAAATAGAATTTAATAATTGATAGAGGAAAAATTAAAAATTAATTAGTTTATACCATGTGCGAAACAAACGAGCGGTAGTGGAAAGGGTGGGTTGATTCTCAACCGGCGCACGGTTTACGCTGGCCCTCTGACAGCTTCACGGCCTTTTCTTGCTGGACACTTGAAAAGCGGAATACAGAAGTCAAATGAGGAGATTGTGTCAATAACTTTTCAATGCAGACAGGACAACAGGAACAACATAAGCAACAAGCCACATTATAAATGATACCCCTCTAATTGATTGGCATTACATACCAACCATCTTTGATTCAATTTGAATGTCCCATAATGGTCTACAAAGGAAAATTTTACTCGAGGTAAAGGCATAGTACTCTCTGTTCATGGACAACAACTTAAACCCCAATCTGAATGATAGCTCCCGAGGGTCCCACAGAATTGAAATGATAGCAAGCCTTAATCTCCCAAATTTTATGGAAATCAAGAGATACTATGCAGCTAGTCTTAAAAACCGGAATGAGCATTTTCTTTTTAAATTAAAAAAGTTAAGTAAACCTGAGGAAAAACATTAAGAACAAAAACCTGTAAAAAAGATGAAACAACAATGCGACATTGACACTTGAAAGTATTGCAACTTTGTTTCAATCATATAGTCAAGAGATAAGCAATTTCAAATCTGAAAATCATCTAACATGGTAGAATGAGTAGTCGATTTATCTAAAATTTGATAACCAATGAATTTAAGATATGATATATGCATTATGTGAAAAACAAGAAGTGACAGTGTGAACAAAATACACATTAGAAATTCATTTACTAGATCCACTGCAGCACAAACAGCAACACAAAGACGTATTGCAGCAAAAAATGAGCAAAAACAGGAAAGGAAAAAGAAATCTGTGCCTAATGAAATATTTACAAATTGACACATTTTACCATGTTCAAGCTGACAACAGTCTCACAAAGAAAAAAAAAGAACATGAAATTGTGTGAGAAGGTAGGTACTTCAAGGCATTATCTGTGACATAAGAACTAAGGACAAGGTTCATCTGCAAAAATGAGTAGGTAAACTGTATGTTTATCTAAGAGCATAGCTTGATTGGATGAGGAGTTTTATACTTACATTTGTGGCTAAGAGGGAGGAAACTAAGTCAATTACACAAAACTAACAACTAATGCAGAAAATAAAGAAGTTTACAGGTAAGTGTTATGCTGTCATTCTACTCACACCACAATGACTGCAACACACTTAACCTGGCAATCATTCTGGCAAGCATTAAAAAATTGATAATAATCCTGTTCATGCAAAAATCCTATTTAGACTAAGGCGGTTCATTTATGTTGACAAATTGAACAATTTACCCAAGGAGCAACCCTACAATAGTAATATGATGAGTCTTTGTAAGAAATTGGCATGTCAGTGTAAATTGAACACCACTGACACAAAACACTTCCTTGCTGACCTATTCTATTTATAATTGCTGGGCATGATCAGTTTGTGAAAACATCAATCAAATAGGGTCATGACAACTTAAGAGCATTCCTACACTGAAATGAAAAAAGTCAGAACAAACCATTACAACGTACAACTCATTGAATAAATTAAATTCATCTGCAATTCTTGGCTAGGCTAAACAAGCAACTTCTAATAATATTTTAAAAATAAAATTGGATGAACTTCTCTTATGCAATTATAAATTTTGACCAATTTAATTGTTACAGGCAGCCTTCTCCGGCTTTTGACAGGAATCTATGAAAGTCACAGAGCCATAATCAAAAATGTTTGTCACAATTAAGTCGTCCATGCAGCCCAAAAGAAAATTATTGTAAACTGACAACCAGACTGACCATACCCAAGCAACACCAAAACACAATTAGGACTTCCACAATAGAAACAATTTGACTACTAACCTGCTCCCTTCTTTGCAGCTTCTCTTCTTTCTCCCGCTTGCGCACATCCAGGAGATACTCATTGAAGAGACTCTCCCTTTCCCGCATCTTGTCAATGTTCTTGAAACGGTCTTCCTTTCCATACTTCTGAGCAAAATCACTGAAAGAGGACCTACAAGGAGAAAAATTCAAAGCCAATTGAGAAAAATCAGGCCTCAGAAGAGATTAGGCTAAAAAATAAGAGATAGCACTTACTTTCCGTGAAGGTTAGCTTCTTCAAGTAGACGACGGAAATCATCTCGCTTCTCCTTCATCTTGTTCCTCTTCTCTCGGCGCTCCTCCTCCGCCCGTTCCTTGACGTACTTCTCAAACACTTGCTTACGTTCCTTGGAGGTTAAAAGAAGATACCTAGGGTCAAAGACAATTTTGTGCAGCTCCTTCTCCCATGTGCTGAACGCAGACACCTGAAATGAAAATCAAATTGCCATGAATGTTGCTTCCTTGCCAAGATCAAGCAAATATCAACAGGGAGAGACTGCAACGCACCTCCTTCTCCGCCAACATTTCGCGGAAAGACTTGATCCGCGTTTCCAGGGGGACGATGGCTCGCTCCCGCGCCGCACGGACCTCTGCCTCCATGGCTGCTTCCTTCCCGACCTCGATCTGCTTCTTCTCTGGAGGTTTTGTTTCTTCCTTCACTTCTGCAAAACAATTTAAAAAAGAAAACAAGATTAAGTCAACTTTGTAGGAAGTTAACGCACAAGTTTACATAGCAGAGGACACTCAAGTAGCAGGGTGCTCTTACCTTTAACAGGTGGCTCTTCCTTCTTTATTTTTTTAGAAGGAATGGCCTGTTCATCATCTGACTTGATCTCTCGTTTAACAGCAGTAGCAGCTGAGTTTTCAGAAGAACTTACGCCATTAGATCCAAGGCCTAAGGCAGCTTGGGATTGTAACACAGTATCTGGTGGATTGCCAACCATTTTATCAACATCTCCTCTACCCACCAGATCCTCTGGTCTTTCCCAAACAGATGTACGAGATGATGGGTTGTAGAAGAAAACTCGTCCATCGCCAGTCCAAACCACACACCTAAACGATCAAGATGACATCAGCACCAACACAAGGTTATAATTAAGGCAAGTATTTGACATCTAGAATTTACTGACCATGGTGTCCCAGGAACAGGGGTGCTTGATACAGGCCTAGATCTATCCTGTTGGCGTTGAAGCTCCTTTGCTTTCTCTTCTTCTTCTTGCTTATGTTTTAAATCTTCTTCATCTGCCAATTTTTTTCTCTCTTTCTCCTCTTCATTATCACTTTCAATTTCAGGCTTAGCTGCTGTGCTAGTACCATTCATAGCAGGTATACTTGTGGCACTCTGGTCAATGATAACAGGTTGAGTTCCTGCAGGCACTGTGTCATCTTCTTCCTCTTCATCATCGGAATCGTCTCCCTCATGATTTACAGAGGTAGAATTTGATGCTGATGTGTTCAAAACAGGCATTGATGCGATGCCTTGAGCAGCAGCAAGTTTGGCAGCTACATAAACAAGAGATTAAGGGCATTAGGGGCAGTACATTGTGCTCACGTCACGAAAACCTTGCTATGCGACCGGAACTGGGCATGCGTCTCAATGTGGGTTTAACGCATAGTGGGGTCCCCCTGACATCAGCATCTTACGTTTTTAAGGAACGATCCGTATGCGATCTTACTGTCAACTATACAAGGATACATACTTTCCAAATCCTTCAGCGGCTGAGGCTTCTCCCAAACAGATTGGCCAAGTTTTGCATTGTAATAGTATGATCTACCATCGGGAGCACGATGTTCAGTCCACTCAGAGGCTCTGGCTAGTATCTCAGGATCAATCTGAAATAAAACCAACAGCAAAAATCACGCTAAGTCAAAAACACACACAAAAAAAAAACAGAAAGAAAGAACTAAAAAATTTTTTGAAAGGCCCAAAGCAACTCTTAATATTTCCATGCATGCATACAAAAATAAAGAAGGATACTCATGATCAAACCCTCCACCAACAATCAAAAAACACAGAAAGGAAAAGAAGAAAAACCACAAGCCAGGAAAGGAAACAAAAAAAGAGAAGTTGAACAAGATCTTTGGAAAGAAAGCAAAGTCCAGCCACCTGAAGTCCAGCTGCTTCCTCGCAATTAGCAGGCTGTGGGGCAGCAGCAGCTGCGATAGCTGGGTTTGGAACAGCTGGTGAAGAGATGGTTGCAGCCGGAGGAGGCATTCCAGTTGGTGGAAGACCCTGCGTACAAACACATAATGTGTTTGTTTGATGACAGGCCATCTTACATCTCTAACTTGGACACATACACCATACCCAGACAAACAATAGAACACATCAAAGAGACTCCCAAAAAGCACAGGCAAAGAATGACCAAGAGAAGGGAAAAACAGAGAAAGAAGAACTTGATGAGGTAATTGAAAAGCAAGCCTTTTGACGCAACCGTGCCGAATCATTTATAAATAACAAACCTGCATTGGTCCTGGAGGCATGCCTTGAGGTGGCATGTTCCACCCGCCTGGGCCGCCTCCTGGAGGCCCATTGTAAGGGGGATATCCTTGAGAGAATCCTGGTGGGGGCATTCCATACGGTGGAGGTCCACCAAATTGGGGAGGGGGCCCTCCGAATGGTGGCATGCCTGGAGGAGGTCCTTGCATCATGCTGGGTGGAGGTTGCATGGTGTTTGGCATTGGACCAGTACCTGATAGGAAATCCACAAAATAGAAACATGTTTGGGACTCTTCTACCCCACAATTATGAAAATCCTAAATGAAGTAGTCACCTGGAGCTTGGGTAGAGTCAATATCTGCCTTGCTCGAGTTAGTAGAATTGGCCTGTGCAACTGCTGCCTGAGCAGCTGTCGTCGTAACAGAATTGCCTCCAGGTTGGACGCCAGCTGCTTGGGCCAATGATTCTACCTGGAGGTAGAATAAAATATACAGGCCAAACATTAATACCAACATAACTTTAAGCATTTCATTGTGCATATTTAAAGACAAAATCCTACCTGCTCCTGAGTTAGAATTTTCACATCCGGCCCTTCTGGCTTGGTCCAAGTTGTATCTCTTGTTCTTGCATTGTAATAATAAACCTTACCATCTCCAGCTTTAGTTTCAACCCAAACTTCTCCAGACAACAAATCCATACTGCTCACACCACCCTGTGAATAAAATAAATATTCAGTCACAGGTCACAGATGCACAATCAAGAAAATGGTCTAGAGGGCTGTGGATGTGCCCTCCAACAATGCAGGCCACAACAATACACTCTGTTCTACTGCACAGGGCACAGGATGCTCCATTGCTGCCAACTATCTGTCAAAAACACTCAAACAGTAGGGATGAACAGCTTCATCACTTACAACAGTTGGAGGTGGCTGCATCATGTTAGGCGGCGGTCCACCCATGCCATGAGGTGGGCCATACTGTCCACCTGGAGGCGGTCCACTTGCAGAACCGTTTGGTGGAGGCATACCCATTCCCATCATGTGTGGAGGCGGCTACAAAAATACACCATCTCAACATATTGGAATGAAACTGTGGGTAAGTTAGCAGCATCCAAATGCTAGCAACTCACCATTCCTGGTGGAGGAGGACCCATCATGTGTGGTGGAGGACCCATGCCGGGAGGTCCCCAGTTTGGATCCCAGTTCGGCGGTGGTCCTCCTCTGAAACGTGGACCTCTAGGACCTCCAAAATGAGGGGGTGGAGGACCTCTGAAGCCAGGAGGGCCTCTTGGTCCAAAGCCACCTCTTCCTCGGAAGCGTGGAGGTGGACCATGAGGTCCATGTGGGCCATTCATTCCATAAGGACCAGGAGCACGGCCCATTGGTGGGCCTCTTGGGCCAAAGTCAGGCCCCCTGTAACATAGAAAATTTAAGTACCTGGATTAGCCACATTTAATCGACAGACACAATCAATAGAGATGAGCAGAGTAAATGTTAGGAAATAAAAGACGGAATAATTTATATCACATTTCAAAATTTAAAACAAATAAAGAATAGTAGCAGCGTAATTGAGTTTCATGTTGTCAACTAATTGAAACAAAAAATTGGATTGAAGTAAGGAAAATCTCGTTTAGCTTCACCAAATTCGCAATCCACGTTAATTTACTCTCTCCCTCTTTTTATCCTCCACGATAAAATTAGCGAACAAAAATATGAAAAGTGAACATTGCGAAACTGCTAGACCTTCTTCAATAATACCCACCCATCTGTTTCCTGGTAATTATTTAGAAATCTCTTAATGCTAGTTTTTACATGGACTGAAGGTAATGAGTTTGCTCAAAATCAGGCCGATCAAGGAAGTTAGGTGGTATAAAGCACTTGTACACTGTAAACACTCGAAATTCCAGACCATGAGTGATGAAATACTTGTGAGAGCACTTGTTTCTGCTTGGCTATTTTGACATAAAATTCTTGCTTAGAAGTAATACAGAAAGGTGCAGTTGAGGATAAAAGAAAAATAGCAAAACCGAACTCCATCAACTCAGTAGGTTAGGTGATAGTAAAATGAGTTGAAGTAGAAAATATCATCACAAAGCACAACATTATGCACATAATTTAAATGTACTCACCCCATACCACGACCAGGCCCTCCTCGCTTACGATATTCATCATAATCCGGGTCATAGTCTTCCTCATCGAGACCACCTTCCATCCCCATCCCCATTCCCATTCCCATAGGATCATCTAGATCCTTGTTTTCTTCCATGATTGGTGACTGTGAATGCTCCTCCATAAGTTCGTCCATAGTTAGTGATTCCCAAGTTTACGCTGAATCAGTAGCAAAGTGAAAAAATTCTCGTGGCAAGTTAGAATTTCTTAAAAAGAACGAAAAGCCTATCAGCAAACGACGACGGATGTACGCTGACCGCCACTGTGCACTGTACTCTCTTGCTTGCTTGCCTGCTGCCTTGTTGCAGTGGCAGCTGTAGTGTAGTAGAAGCAACGCTAGGCACGGAGGTTGCAGTGGCAAAGGCGATAAGTTGCTAAGATAGGCTATAGTTGGGGAAACTCGGCCGTAACCCTGCAGGATAGCACAAACTGAACTGCGAAAGTGCAAAACCACTGCAGAAGTTTCAAACCCTGCAGATGTTGTGTGTTGTGTGGAAAGGAAAGAGAGGAAGATACCGGGAAAACCGGACCGGGTGACTACTGTTATGTTTTCGAGTGAGTTGGACCCCTGATTGAGGCTAAGTACTGCGGTTTCTCGGGTGCAAATCGAAAACCAACCAGTAATTTCTCATACCTTGTGAAAATAGCCTAGTCTTTCTAAGAAATGCTTGTAGCATGGGTTATTGGACTTTAAAAAAATAATAATGAAAAGTAGTTCCCGGTTTTGTTAATTTTTAAGACATGGAAGGCACCATATATTTTTTCTTTTCAGTTCCATTAATTTGAGCTTGATTTCATATTCAATCAGAAAAGGGCTATTTTTGCTATAAAGTTGATATCACGATCGGTTGAGTTGAGCGTAGTAGGAAATCCCTATCCCACCCCCCCACACAGCTCCTTATTGGAATTTCTGAAATGTCAGCTCGCCATTTTGGATTTTGAGAACTTAAGTCCAAATTTGGAAATCTGAGAAAAAGAGCAAGATTCCGGTTCTGTGTTCACTCGAGATTTGTTTACAACGCTCTTGAGAGCATTTGTAGGTACTGAAGCGACTTAAATTTGATATTGTCGACTGCCGATCGCCAATAAGCTCATTATTTATTATATAGGTTAAAATATCTAGCCTACGCCTGATTCGTCGGATTGAGTATTTTCAGGGCCTTCGTATTTTGAGCGGCCTTTGTTCATTTATTGTGCGCTTTTCACAGTCTCAGAGCTTAGTTTATTTCAAAATGCACCTAATTTCCACGGTCTCTTTAAGGAATAGAATCTGGGGCTTAACACCTGTTACTTTTTTTTCTTAACTTAAACTACGAGCATTGTTTTCCCCAATATCTGAGTTATTTTTCTAGCTCTATTGCTATTAAGTGATGGATTCTATGTGTGTTTTAGATGCCTTAAGAATGAAACACAAGTTTGTTATTTATATGTCTAGGTATTGATTTTCATTTGATCAAAACAAATTTAACGGTCAGACACTGGAATAAGTTTACATTATGCTCTTAAAATTTAATTCTGATCTGTAGAAGTTTGATTTATGGGCTCACCTTTGAAGTGTCTATCCTGCTCTGAGAATAGTAATATGATCTAAATTCTTCAACTGGGATGCGATAGGTTCTAGTAGCTGTTCACATTAACCCTTGAGAGCAAATCATAAAGATTGGCATTTTAAAAGCTTCTTGTTCACAGGCAATGCATTGATTAGTCAAAGCAACCCAACAGTTGCTTGAAAGAGCTCATAGCTCTTAAAGCCACTTTTGCATTGGCTGACAAGACAAAAGTTTCTTCACCATGAATCATTTGCCGAACTCCAAGATGTCAGCCCAAGAGTATTGTTTGCGATGGAAATACCATCACAGTAATTTACAGGTATATTTTGCAATCTTTGGTCTTGTTATAGCTTTCTTAATACGATTTCTCTAATTCTCTTATTTTTGCAGCAAATGTTTTCTAATTTATTGGAAAGAGAATGCTACACTGATGTTACCCTCGCTTGTGAGGGGAAGACACTAAGAGCTCACAAGGTATGTGTTTTGATATTCTCTACTCATGGTATTTATTTTATTTTTCATTACACTGCTTTTTGTTTTTCAGATGGTCTTATCTGCCTGCAGTACATACTTTGATAGTATTTTCTCAGAATATTCAGAGAAGAACCCTATTGTTATTTTAAAAGATGTGAAGTTCATGGACATGAAATCTTTGGTTAATTTCATGTATCGTGGAGAAATCAATGTCCAAAATGTACGTTGTTATCAATTTCCTATCTTAATGATTTTTCTTGTGTTTGTTTTGCTTTGTATCTGCACCTTAATGCAGGTAACTAATTTTTAATGCATTTTATAATTCTGAATATCTATTTACAGTCTCATCTAACATCCCTTCTGAAAACTGCGGAAGACTTGAGAATCAAAGGTTTAGCTCAGATGTCCTGGCCAGCAGATAATAACGAGACAGTCAAAGAAGGAACCCCAGACAACTCGTCTGAAGGTCACAAAAAGCGCTCCTCAGATGAAGGTTCAAATCCCCAACTTTCTGTGTCAAATGGATCTGAATCCCCTGTCAATAAAAAGAGGCGACCAAACAGCTACAGCCCCAAGGTGGTGAGTACTTGAGAGCAAGAATATTTAACTCTCAAATTGAAACTCAAGCTGTCTGAAAGTGAAAACTATTTGTTTGATTTTAGGATTCTGGTGAAGAGCAGTCCCAATGGGATCAGGATGACTCTGAGCCTGAAATAATTCCGGCATCGGATCCTCTTCAAAACGAAGACAGGAGCTATGGAAACATGATGCACAGTGCAGTACAGGTACATTTGACTTTCATTCAGTATATCTTTTTGAAGAAGCTAAATCTGTCTAACATCATTTTAATTGCTCATTGTTAAAGGAAACATTCAATGACCATAGTGATGGAGATGCTGGATACAACAGTAAGATGTCATTTTGTATCGATGAAATTCAAATTAAGATGGAACTTAAATTAATCTCGTTCATTTATGCATAGATTCTGGTGATGTGCAAGACTCTCGACCTCCGATTGAACCTGTACCGCAACCTGCGCCGCAACCTCCACCACCATCTTCCGTTAGCACCCCCTTGTCTGACAGATTTCGGGACGTTATCAAAATGAATGACTATCTTGTGTCTGGCCGAAGACCTCAATTCTGGGAAGAGGCTTTCACCAGAAATGTTATGGAAGCTATAAGGAATAAGGATATTGAAATGAAAGCTGGTGCTGAAATTTTGGGTGTATCATATGGAACCCTATATGGTCGCTATCGTGAAGCCTTCGGATGTCTGAAACATCCTTATCGGTGAGTTCATAAATGATTTTAGTCCAGAACAATATGGTTTCCTCTATCTGTTGAGAATTTTGTTTTAAATATAATAGAAATATAATATAATATAATTAGAGCCAATTGCCTCCAAATTTTACTTACCATTCTTTTTTTAAATTTATACAGAGTTCGTGACTTTTGGTCTGAGCCTGGACCTGCTGGAGTACTTGCAAAACTTCAGCGGAAAGAACTGACCTTATTCAGAGCAGCTGAGATTTTGAATGTCACAGTTACAACCCTTGCCAATTATTTATCAACTCTCCGCCAAGAAGATGCCGGTCCGTATGCTAGGAATGACTATGTCCGAGACATGGATGATGGAAACCATGACATGTTGATGGGGCATATGGAAGAGGCCTTCTTCGCCAATCATGGTCAACTCGTGAAACAAGAATCACTAGTTGGCTTGGGTGGAGATGATGATATTGACTCTGAAAATTCGCATGGAGGTGTTTAGAAATAATTGACCTTTAGTCAAAATGTTAAGTGTTTTAGGTTAAATTGGTTAAGTTATTATCATGTGACTGATTGGGAGAAACAACAGTGTTTGTGATAAAAGTTTTCTGTGCCTTCCCAATCTGTTGATTGTCACATAGCGTGTATGGTTTCTGACAAAGTTTTGAAACTTCGAAAAAGTTCCTGTTTATTTGTAGCAACATAGCGTGTTGCTCGATTACATTTATGACAAGTTCCAACTTAGCAATTTTGGTAATGTGATTTTTATCAATCCTATTTGTACACATTTATGTATGTTTAGATCAATGCCTTCCTGGCTCCATCATCTAATCTATATTTGAACATCTTAATGTTCTAATCAAGTGACCAGCGTAGAATAGTTCCTTTGTGCATTGAGTCATCTCGACTCATTGAGTGCGGCTGGAAAACGGGAGCGACAGTAAACGAATGTTCACTCTGCTTTCAAAGTGTTGTTGCGTTGTTGATGTAACTGCTGGTTGCCTCCTGTATTGGTCACAATCTTCACAAACTTCCTTCATAATGTAGAAGCTTATCCAATTGATGTTAAACCTTGGTATGACAGGTGAGCGCCCTTAGGGCGCTGTGCCCTGAATGTAGGCAATTTGTCTGACTTTTAGCCTGTAAATAAACAAATCAGGAGCATACAGGGGGGTACGGGGTCTCCGCTCTAGGTCATGATCACAAACACCCTCAATATGATGCCTGATGCAATCCGTCTGAGTGTAGGCTAAAAGTGTGACATTTGTCATCGACTGCGCTGGCAAGTTATGGTTGCTAGACATAATAATAATAATAATAATACTGTGTATAGGATTCATCCTAGATATCATTCATCTGTAATTCATTCGTTCATTGAAACATGTGATCATCTATTTTCATGATTTTGTTTGTTTTCTTGATACGATCAGGAATATGTTCATATTTGTTACTTTTGATAACTATGAGGAAAAGGTAATTTTTAGTTTAGTTACTGCAGCTTTCTGAACGCTGAGCATGTTACATTGTTAAAAGCTTTATTGGCCTTTAATGTACCACTACAGATATTTAAGTGGTGTTGTGGTTTGTGGAGGATTACCTCTGAGATATTAGTTAAAAGTTGTCTAGCTTCATTGTGAAGTATTTAACTGGGGCAGATAAATGCATGCACTTGTTAATGACATAATCAATGCATGTATCATGCAACTGAATTTCATACATTGGCTCTGTGTGATGCATAGAAAACACCATACTTTATAAACAACTTAGTTTCTGTAATTTCTGTTAGTGTTTAAGATAGTGAGCTTATTAAGTTATTGTCTTTTTGAAGCATTTTTGGAGTATTTTTCCTCGAGGGTTAGCAGTGGCTAAAACAGTTGTGGTCTTACCATGGCCCACTGACAATTCATCCTCCTCGGGGGAAATCTCTGAAGCACATGCACAGTGACTGATCTTTTTGTAGACTGGCTCGAAAACTTCCTAAAAAGTTTCAGTGGGGTTTCTTTTTGTTTTAAATTGGTATTCTCTTTACCACCGTATGATGGCAATTTGTATGTACAATTTGCTCTTTAAAGTGCTTTTTTTTTTCTTTCTTCAAATGCCTGGGATTTTTGGTGCATTGTTACTGCTAATGTGTCTTAAGAGTCTCTATTAATGAGTTTAGGGCAAGTATTTATTATTTACAAGCAAGGTTAATGTGCGGTGAAAGTTAACATGAGTTCCTATACATCACTTTATAGTTGAAGTGATACCTGCCATACTGCTATATTGATCTTTCATATTACATTTTGTAACCATTTTAAGAGTTAATTGCAGCATAGTTCACAGAGAAATTATTTATTATTCATTATTTATGCTTTCTCATCAGTTTTAATCCTTAGGGATTGAACAAATATTTTATGTAATCATAGAACTCAACTTTGTCAAGGTTGCAGTTGGGTGTAAAGCATGTAACTTATAAGAAATTATTCTCAGAATTTTAGAACCGACCAGCAATATTTGTTGGCATTATGTTGCCTTTGGTTTCTTCTCCACATCTCAGACAAAACCTTTCAAACTAGAACTTTTTAATAATGTTAATGTATCCAGAATTCTGAATAGCTAGCATTCAAGTTGCCGTGTAGATGGATTTTTTGCCCCTTGTGATATTGTAAGTTTCCATGCTTTTTGTGGTTTATTTATGAAAAAATCCATATGTTCCTGCTTTACACAATTTTTCTGTGAGTGGAAATATAAAATTGAATGCATCATAATGAGGCCTTTCTTTCACACATTTGCTCTGAAATGGTATCATCAGATTCTCGCACCCTTGTAAAAAGAAAAGTGTGAAGTTTTTCTTGAAAGGAAGGTGGTCAACAGTTGATTCACTTGTCATTTGTACCTGACATTGCTCTAAAAAAGATTTTAAGAGTATTTAACTTTCAGAAACCTAAACAAGGCCCATTATAAATTAACAGTTAAAATATCTTTTAAAAAAGAGGGTACTCCTTAAGAAGACATTATGGCCGCTTTAGTTCCAGTTGTTCATTGTGTTTTAACTAATACTGTGTGTTGTGATCATGTGTGCAGCTGTCGAGCCCTAATGTGCCTCCTATCATCAAGCCACATTGTTTTGTGAGCAATATGTGTCATGAAACTGAATTGTTCCTCTAACTTAATTTTATTTATTTGTTTTCCCCTGGATGTCAACTTTCTTGCTTTTTGGGCTTGAAGTGGTTGTTGTGCAAACTGTATCAGGAAAACTGTTAAAGAAACAACAAAGTCTGAATATCTCTTGTCAATTTTTGTTTTGGGGTCTGCATTCATTTCGGCAAGTGCATGACATAACATATATAGGACATTCAAATTTGCTTTGTTCGAGCTTGAGGCAAGGTGTTCTAAACAATTTCCCTTAAGCCTTATGATGTCCTTTGTAGAATTTTACTTACCTTTGTATTGATTGGCTATCCTTTTTCATGCAGTGACTAAAATCTTCATTATGTGATTTGTGGAGTAAGTGTAGTGTAAATATATCTATGGGTTAGAGGCAATATTGTTGCACAGTATTACGAAATTTTATGGTGTTAGAAAATGTAAGGTAATAGCTGACTATAGAAACCTTTAGGATCTGTATATATTCATATTATTGCATTTACAAATTATTTTAAGTTATGTATCCATGTACCATGCTCTCAACATCATAAAGTATTTATTGTTTTCATTTTTAATTTCATTTACATTTTTAGCGTTGTACTGACCACATCATAGACCTCTTTAAGAATGCTACGCTTAAGCTTCTAATTTTTGTAGGATCATATTGTAAAGGCTTTCTGGTTTTAGTTTTCTTTCTTCCTTCATTTAAAAAAAACCTTTTTATTAGATGTGGTTAGAAACAATGATGCAAACAAGCTTGGTTGTTATATTGCAACAGGGCCATCCTGTCAGCGAGTCTTTGATCTGTGTATAGAGGGAGATGAGTTTAAAACCCTGCAGCAAATCATCATCACATTTGGAAAAATGCAAATTTGAACATTAGTCTGTTATTATTGTTTGTCGTTAACTTTTTAGCTTATTCCAATGCTTTAAAATTATGGTTGTGGAAATCCTATGATGGAAAAGCTTACCTCATCAATTAGTCTGTTTGATCCTTTTGCTATTGCAAAAACACAATCTTTTAAACATGATTATACTGACATTTTCAAATGACATCACTTAAATTTTTAGCAATTGCTTTATCTAATCCAGTTTTGTTTTTGTTTTTTTGTTGAGGGAACACTGTCATTGCAGTGTCCAATGCTCAAACATTCCTTAGGTTAAAGTTTCTCTGTGTCAAATGTCAATTTGAAAAGAGATTGTGTCAGATGACCATTCACTCTACAACATGCGCCACATACTAGTGTAAATCACTACCTCAGAACTAATCCTTCTCTCTAACAGGTCAAAGCTACTTTGGCCCTTGAAATTTAACTGTGAAAATCAGGATTCCTGCTGAGTTTCATAATTAAACATTATACCAGCAGTTCCTTACAATATGTAAAAGTTCCTGACCTATTCTTGTTTTTAAATAATAATTTCCCTGTGAGGTTCCTACATGTGTGCTTGCTTCTAAGTGGACAGGCACACAGCTGTTTATGATGTATCTTTAAACAAGGCACTCTGAAATGTTACTGCTTCCTGTGATTCATTTCATGAGAGTGTACTTAAAGATAGCAGCAGATACTGTTCATCATTGTAACTTTGTATATGTATATATCTAACCACATTCAGAAGATATATATATGCATGTTTACTTTTAGCTCTGAATTTTTTCAATTCGCCCTTTTGCCCGTGTACACATTTTCTTTTTTACAACGATAATTTCAAAAGAGGAGCAAACAATAAAAATGAGGATGGCGCGGCCGTACCCAAAGGCCAACGCGTTTGACGGAGAGCACATGGCTACGTTGGGGTGAGAGGGAGAGGGGGTAATAGGGGGACAAAAGGGAAGAGGCGGTCGCGTCACGTGTGGTCACGTGCCGTGTGGAAGGCCTGGAAGGCTCAGGCCCGAACCGTCTGTCTCTCTCGCACATGCGGGTCTGGTCTGGCCCTCGGGAGCGCGACAGAGCGCGACATAGCGGGGAGGCAAAGGGACGTGACGGAAAGCCGTTTTCCAGATGGGATCATTGTCACGGTCAAGTTGCGCCGGTCAAAGTGGCGGTACAGTGCAGGGCCTGCAGGGCCCAGGCTTCAGGGACTTCCCTGCCTACCGCGGCCTGCCCCTGCCGGCCCCGCATGCTCTGCCCGCTCTGCCAGCGGCGCTGGCCCTGTGCGGCCTTGCCTGGCCTTGCCGCTGCATTCGGTGGACAAAGTGTGGGAAAACGACATGAGCTCGCATGGGGACATTCCCCGCGGTGATTTGGTGTCGCGGCGCGGCGTGCCAGACCACGGGATGCACGTGTGCACGTGACGACCGAGTGCTGCCATAACAATGGCGCCAGAACGACCCCGGATGTGAGGAGAGGGATCGTCTCCCCCGCCCCTTCTTTCACTTTTCTCAGTCCCAGATAAGTGGGAAACTTAGGAACAGATCTCTATGCTGGAGCCAATAATTTGAGAGAAGCTCGAACGCTTGACAGTGTAGAGAGCGAGACATTCCCCCCCCCCCCCACACACACACACACACTCTTCCGGATGGGTCGGGTTCGGTTGGTGGCGTGGCGTGCCGCCTTACGTCGAAAGTAGGGGATTTGGCGCCCCTCCACGGCGCGGTTCGAATCCCGTCGGTGCAACCCGGTGGTGCGACGGAGAGGGAAAATGGCCCGGTGGTCCGGTCCAAAGCCCCAGCGGGCCCAGCGGCATGGATGGCCTGGAGTTGGCAAGCCACACGCCAGTCGTCGTCAAAATATCCAGCGGTACGTCACGGCTGCTCGAGGCTTCGTGGCTTGGGGTGCACGACTTGCCATTCGCCTCAGGAGTAACTTATACGCTCTTGGGGAAAACGTCGGCAGAACGGGAAAAATTAGTAAGTTTCAGCGCCGCTTTCGGTTTTGAAGTTTTTAAGTCGAAAACGAGAGCAAAGCGACAAGTTCAGCCCAAAAATTGTAGATAGCGTTCCAGTCTCTACAACTTAGTGGCAAGCTTTTCCATTCCCGCGCCATTTTTTTCTGTGCGCCAGAGTTTGCGTGTTGTTAGTTCCCGTCACGTTTTGGTCGGCATTCGCGGTGTTTAGCGCTAACTCTCATGCTCGGCACCTTGGAATGGAATGCCTGAAAAAGATTTATTTTTGCATGCTTGGCAAACCACACCAGGAGAAAAATGTGTGACCGGGGAGGGGGGGGGGCGAAATCAGCTAATGGCCTACATTGAAATTTGTACTTTTTCCAGGTGTAGCGAGAATGTCTTGACACCGTGTGCCAAGTATTTTGCCGTCAGACGAATCATAACAAGAATCAAGAAGGCATAGAGACTTACCAGACATCAATCAGTCCACCACCATGAAGATCGCAAGTCTCAAGAAGCATTCATCGCAGGTATTAACGATGTCCTTCTAGGAAATCCTTAGTATCTTCATTCCGAAGAACGTGTGAAGCATTGTGTGGTGAAACTGAGCTAAACGGCGTAGAATGGGAGTACCTGAACCGGAACCCCAAGACCGTATCAAGTCGGGCCGCGGTGCTGCTGATTGGCTGCCCTGGCCTAATCTGACGTGCCCTCAGCCAATCCCAGCGATGGAGCTCACTACACTCACACTCCATTGCACATAATTTTATTGAGTGGCAGGCCCCTCGGTCCGGACAGTGGCGGAGCCAGAAGGCGCCTACACTGTCTGTATCCAAGAACCCAAAATCCCAAACCCTAGCGACTGAACGAATGCAGGTCCAATGCGAGTCTCTATGAGTGTGTGCAAATGATAGATGAGTGTACTAGTTGAATTCAGCTTCCGTTGTCGAGAAACTTGTTTGGCATTGACTGACAGCGAGTCTGCCGCGTACGGCGGCGTGTTTGCTTTGGAGTCGAAACGGGCCGCAAAGCGACGCTGTTACCCAGGACGCTATTTCGCATTTCGGACGACAATCCGCCGCGGCCACGCGCCCAGCTCCGAAACACTCGGTTTTCGCGTATCCTCATCTCTCCCCCCTCCTTTTCCTTTCGTCCCTTTAAACCACACCGCCATCCTCTTCCCAGTTGTGTGTTGAAAGCAGTGCGGCTGCAAGTTTCGAACGTCCCGCGCTTGCGGCCATTCTATTTGCCGTCAGCCCACACGCGTGTCACACACTGTGTGCCACACAGGTCACGGGTATCCGAATGTACCCGGCCGCGCCGGTCCAAGGGGAACCGGGAGGAACCGATGTTGTATTCGGAGAAAACCGCTTCTCATTCCGGTTACCACATCGTGACACCTGCCTGCCTGGTGCGGGACCAGCGGACCAGCCAGCGATTCGGTTGGTCGTGAGCGTCTAAAATAGAGAGGCTGTCACTCACTGACACTGAACACACACACACACACAAACACATACGCACGCACACACACACACATACACACACACTCACACACACACGCACACGAAACGATTTCGTAACCCTCCTATCTGCAACCTTGGTCGACGCCTTTCTGATGTGATTAACAAACAGCAAGCCTCGCAGGGAGGGGGTGGGGTCTGAAAGCCCTGGAACGGGGGACAGGGGGGAGGGGGAGCGTGGAGGGCCTCTCGGTGGTCATCCGCGGGTCCCGTGGGTCAGGCAGGACTAGACGGCGTTGGGCAGTGTGGCGGGCTTCGCGTAGCTTCGCGTGGCCGCGGGCCTTGGAGTGAAGTGGGCTGGAGGGCTGCGAACGGCAAGGTCAACATGTGGAAGATCCTCCCGCAGGTACGGGCACGGCCACGGCCACCGGCACGCGAGCGCCAAGGCGCGCCAAGGTGCCCGGACCGCACGACGCCGACGCCGCCCCAAGGCCGTGTCTGTGCTCCACTCCGTGCTCCATGCCCCGAGGCCAAGTCCGCTGAGTGTGTCTTCGGCCCTGTTCCAGCTGCTCGTGGCCATGGCTGCCTCCATGGGCTACATGACCATCGGGCTGGTGCGGGGCTGGTCGTCGCCAGGACTGCCCTCCATGATGGACCTCAACCCGGAGCTCATCCCCAGCGAAGAGGTCGTGTCGTGGGTTAGTAAGTACCTACTCCAAACCGGATTGCCACCGGTCCGCGCGTGCTAAATGCCGGCCGCACGAAACGGGATCGCGCAGCGGTGGATCCAGAAGTAGTCCGGGAGGGGGGAGGAGCGGGTAGCACCCTTCTACGGAAGCCCCTTTCCCTGGGTCTTGCGAGTGAGGTCGTTTCCAAGGGACCGGCGCTGAGCCCCTTGCAGCGCGAGGGGTAGGCAGACCCGCCGAGCACGCGCGCACCGCTGCAGCCAGGATTGCCTACCTGCGTGGCCGCAGGGGCTCCATGGAGCGGCCGGTGCCTGTCGGGCTGTCTGGCTGTCGCCCAGCTGCCCTCGCCCTCCGCGCCCTGTCCTTCCCTTCCCTTCTCTGCCCCACAGGCGCGGTGCCGCCCATGGGCGCCATGTGCGGGTCGCTGGCCGTGGCGCCGGCGCTGCAGCGCCTGGGCCGCAAGCGCTCGCTGATGCTGGCCGCGCCGCTGTTCGTCACGGGCTGGACGCTCATCGCCTTCGCGACGTCGTCCGCCATGCTCATCGCCGGCCGAATCCTCTGCGGCTTCTGCGCGGGGCTCGTCACGCCGTCCGCGCAGGTCTACGTGAGTACCGCCAGCGCCACCAATCCCTTGCGCGACAACGACGGAGTGAATGAAACTGGTCGTACTGGTCGGCGCAGGTGAGCGAGAGCGCGCACGCCAAGACGCGCGGCATCCTGGGGTCGCTGCCGGCCCTCTTCATGGCGGGCGGCGTGCTCATCTCGTACGTGCTGGGCACGTGGCTGTCCTGGAACCACCTGGCGCTCGCGTCCGCCGCCTTCCCCGCCCTGCTGTTCGTGGCGCTGCTGCCGCTGCCCGAGTCGCCCGCCTGGCTGCTGTCGCACGGCCGCGTGGACGAGGCCAAGGAAGCCCTGCGCTGGCTGCAGCGCACCGCCGACGTGGCCGCCATCGAGCTCAACGTGATGCAGGCCAAGGACGGCAGCGTGGCGCCGGCGAAGCCCCCCGCCGACCCGGCAGGTAGGCTGCGGCCGATCACATTTGAGACCAGTGACGATACAGACCTATAAGGTGGCTGCATAGTGGCCCCTTTCCAACGCGCGCTGCGCGCTCGCGCTGGAGACTCGGCGGCCGTGTCACTCTTCATGATCCTTGTCCGCCGTCACCGTGTCCCCGCAGGCGACCCCGACGCCGCCGAGCGCGACCGCGAGCGCCGCCTGTCCGTGCTGTCCGCGCACGCGCCGCACGGCCAGCCGCTGTCCGCCGAGGAGGAGATGGAGCAGCACGCCGACGAGGAGATAGCGGGCATCGCGCGCGACGAGCGGCGCCGCTCCATCATCATGAAGAAGCCCACCGAGGGCGACCTCGCCTTCAAGGTGCGCGTCAGCGTCGCGGCGCTGCTCCACGGGGCTCCACGGGGCGGCACCCCGAGGCCAAGGACATGACCCTCACTGAGACCCCTTTCCTGCCCACAGTCTTTCCTGCGCCGGCCCGTGCTGTATCCGTTCTTCCTCTGCCTGGCGCTGCTGGGCTTCCAGCAGGTCAGCGGCATCGACACGGTCATCTTCTACACCGTCGAGATCTTCATGGCGACCGAGAGCTCCATCAACGACTACCTGGCCACTATCCTCATCGGCATCGTGCAGCTGGTGCGTGGCGGTCCTCCGTTGCGCCGCCCTCGTGCGAGTGACTCTGTTAACGGCCTTCTCGTTGTCGGGCAGGTGTGCACGATGCTGTCGCTGCTGGTGATCGACCGGGCGGGCCGTCGGCCGCTGCTGCTGGTGTCCGGCGCCACCACGTCGCTGGCCATGGCCCTGGTGGGCACGTACTTCTACCTGCAGGACCGCGGGCGCGCGGGCGGGCTGGGCCTGCTGCCGGTGGGCTCGCTGCTGCTCTTCATGGTGGGCTTCTCCCTGGGCTACGCCAACATCCCGTTCCTGCTGATGGGCGAGCTGCTGCCCGTGCGGCAGCGCAGCGTGCTCAGTTCGCTCGCCGGCTCCTTCAACCTGGGCACCATGTTCCTGGTCATCAAGACGTACCCGCAGCTGCGCCACGCCATGGGCACCGACGGCACCTTCTGGCTGTACTCGGCGCTGTGCCTGGCCTCGTGCTTCTTCGTGGCGCTGCTGCTGCCCGAGACCAAGGGCAAGACGCTGGACGAGATCGAGAGCTACTTCGAGGGCAAGCACCAGCGCGCCAAGGCCAAGCGGAAGGCCAAGATGGACGCCGCCAACAAGGCCGTCCAGACCAAGGTGTAGGCCAAGACAGTCGCGGCGCGTTAGCTTTAAGCGGCTTTAAGCGATTCCTTTTAGTTTTAAGTACATTTACTCGTGGACTGGACTCGAACCAAAAACGCCAAGTTCAAATTCCGACGGGTTTTCTCAGCTGGTGCGGTAACAGGCAGTCGAGATTAGAATTAAGGCGAGCTGGGCGTTGTAGCTACACTGTAGCTACACGGGTTATCTGCGCCATATGGGAGGAATACATACACGGGCGCACTCTGTGATCTTGAACAATGACTATAGTACCTGAAATCTTCTTTGAAAAGGGCTCGTACCAGGCTGTACTGTTCCGTTTTCCCGATTCAACGAACGCCACATTTTGTTGTAGATGTGTTTATTCCATAATGCGACAGTGGTGGATTACTATCGCGGTTAGTATTCCTAATCTAAGGATCTTATAAATTAAGCAGACAAATAAATCGACAATAAATAGATCATTTTTAAAAACGTTCACTGCGGCGAGAAGAAATGCGACGACTCGACGCCGTGGACGCGTGTCAACAGGCCCGACGAGTCATACACGGTTCGTCAGGAAATAAGGTTACTCGGCACGAAACTTAGTTCCCCGCTCTTTCCACGCCACAAGCTATTTCACCGATTTCAAGTGAAAGGTAAGGCCGGCGCCCTACACTGCACTACACGGCCGTGCTGAGGAAGTCCAACTGCGTGCGGACGCAGCGTCCCGAGGCGATGTCCTGCGCGCTGGCCGCCAGCTCGGTGCCGCCGAACTCGATCCGCGCCACGATCTCCCTCGTCTTGTCGGCGGCGGCGGCGGGCCGCTCCAGCGACAGCCGCAGCGTCCCGCACCGCGTCACGCCGGCGTCCGTCACGAACTGCAACGAGAGGAAGGGGCGGCTCAGCTCTGCCTAGCTCCAGGGAGAGGACGTCCTGGGACTTCCCTCACCTTGGGCGGACTGGTGTCGCTGCTGCAGTAGATGTGGATGATGATGTTGGTCTGGCGCGCGCTGGCGGGCGTGTAGCTGCGCGTCACGGCCTCGCCGGGGCCGAGGGGCTGGTCCGCCACCACCAGCACGTCCAGCACGTCGCAGCACCACTTGGAGCCGTCCGACAGCGTCACCAGCTTGTCTGCGCAGGTGAGTCGCGGCGGCGTCACGCGGTGCCGAAAGTGGAAAACGGAAAACACACAGCGAGAAAAGGAGACTGACCCTGCGGGTGCTCGCCGGGCTGGAAGCGCTTGAGCACGCCGACGCCGATGGTGTGCTTGGAGCGCCGCGACGCCACCAAGTCCGGGTCCAGGCCGTACAGCACGGCGCCGCGCAGCGTCGTCAGGCCCACGGCCTGCGGCACCACCACCTGCACCGAGGACAGCGTCAGGGCCGCCGTCAGGGCCGCCACTACTAGGACGACTTCCGCCATTTCAAGCATTACCTTTACTCGTGAGCCGAATTGAGAGCGCACCCGGTGCTGGAGCATCAGCGACTGGGCGAAGCCACCGACCAGGAACAGGTACTGGATGGCGGTGGGGACGGAGCCGGGGCTGGCCGGGACTCGGAGGCGCGGGCTGCGGAGCACCTCGTCAACCTGGTGGCACACCTGGTCCAGGGTCGGCTGGAACAGGTCGGCCATCAGCTGGGGGGACAGGCGCAGCATGCCCTGGCTGGACCAGGAGATCTCGCTGGGACGGCCGAACTTGCGCACGGCGTGCTCCACCTGCGAACAGGTGGACGTCAGGACGCGTCGGGGTGGGATGGGCCAGCCGCTGTACGTGGGTGGGCGAGCCACTGCCGCGTACCTCCTTCCCCCTGAACTTGCGGTAGGCCTCCACGAAGGCGAAGGGCGGGAAGATGGTGAGGTTGGCGTCGCGGTCCCTGTCGGGCTCGGCGGACCGCTTCCTCGCCTCGAAGGACAGCAGCAGCTCGACGTAGGCGGCGGGCCGCTTGCGCCGGAAGTGGGACATGAAGTCGGCGCCGAAGACGGCGCTCAGCAAGCGCTCGAACTCGCGATCCACGCCTGGGGAGGGGAGCAGCGAACGAGGGTGAAAATGAAAAGGCGGTCGAGGCAAGCCGCCGCCGGGATCCGAACTCGGGACCTGGACCTACCGAGCGAGCCGCAGGCGCCGCCACTCGCCTTGTGAAGCTCGCGTAGCGTGGCACGCTGGCCGCTCAGCTCGTGCACCGTGATGTCCACCGTGCCGCCGCCGCAGTCCACCACCATGTACTGCGTCCTCACGCCTGAAAACAGTTTCAAAATCCTTCACATGGAAAGGTCACGCAGTGGTTGTGAGCCGCGGCGGCCGCTCTGCAGCCCTCTTGCTGACCGTGCCCGTGGGGGTCGAGGACGAGGGAGGCCATGGAGTGGTCGCGGCTCGAGTCCAGCTGGTGCTGGTGGAGCTGGTGCTGGTGCAGTTGGTGCAGTCGGAGTTGGCGGCAGTACAGCGAGGCGGCCTCGGGCTCCAGCACGATGAGCAGGGCCTCCGGTCGGTGCGGGCTGGCGAGTCCGGCCTGCAGAGCAACAAGAAAGCCGTTCAGGCAGGGACGCAGGCGCGGTGAGAGGCTGCCGCCATGCTGCCGCCGGCCCTTACCATGTGAGCCGCCTCTCGAAGGAGCTGCGTCGCGGAGGGCCCCCACAGTGCCGGCACCGTCAGCACCCACCGCACGGACTCGTCCCCGAGGAAGCACAACTCGGAGTCCCCCTGGTCGCCCTGGTCCGCGGCCGCCAGCTCGGCCAGGGCGCGGTCGCGCAAGTGCGCCAGCGACATGCTGAGCACCGTGAGGGCGGCCACCTGGCGCCCGTTGGCCGCGGCCAGCGTCGTGTCGCGGGTCAGCGTCTGCAAGGGGCGCGGCAGCGCGGCATTAGCAAGGAGCCACCGCCGAGTCCGCGGGCGCCGCAGAGCCGCGCGCTTACCGTCTGGCTCAGCAGGGCCATCTTGAACTTGTCGAAGTACAGCCATCGCTTGGCCTGGTCGGGGTGCAGATCGTGGAAGGTGTCGCGGGCCAGGAAGCCGAACGAGTGGAACTTCCCCTCGGGCGTGAGGAGCAGCGCCGTGGGGGCCTTCTCGTTGTACAGGCCGGGGTCGCCGCCTGCAGCACACGAGGAAAAGAAAAGTCACACTCTCACAATCAAATTCCCAATGCCAGATGGATTGTGCTCTAGAGTGGCTGGCGCGGCGGTGGATTGCCTCCGGTTGGCCGAGAGAGAGGGGGAGGAGGGGGGTCGCGGGGGTCCTCGAGGGCCTCGGCGCGGCCCCGCGCTGGCAGTGCGGCAGGCGCGGTGCTCCCGACCGGCTGCTGCTGGCGCTCTCTGCGGGGAATGCGGCGAGGCTGGGCATCGCGATGATCGGCATTTCCCGTGGCGCCTCAGTCGCGTTGCCGACCAGGGGGCCACGCCGCGCAGGAGGTGGCGACATAGCGCAGCGTAGCGGCGGCGGCATTTCGCTTGGGGCCTCGCTTCGCGCCGAGCTGCGCGTCATCGCCATGGCAACGCGGCGTAGCGCAGCGCAGCGCCACTCGCTCGCGGCGCCCGATTCGATTCCAAGTCGAAGCGCGAGCGCCAAGCGTCAAGTCGACACTCTCGTCCCATTTCGTCGCGCCTTGCCGACGGCAAAGGACCCCGCGGCGTTTCGAAACGAAAAAGCGCGGGAAAGGGCAGCCTCGGCAGATCCTGGCCGCTTGTGAAAATTGCCGAGCCGAGCCGGTTTGCGCGACGGTTAGTACAGTGTTGCCGAAAGGACCCCCAAGGATACTCGCGGCTGGAAAAAGTAAAGTCACCGCAGCAGGGCGGCAGCCGCGCGAGGAGGTGGCCCGGCGGCCGGCGTGTCCTGATCCTGCCGCGGTACCCGGTAGGGGTACCCCTTCTACCGGTACCGGCACCGGGCCTGCCCAAACCTGCGGTGCCGAGTGGCCACGCGGCCAAGCCAGGTAGCGCGGTGGCCGGCCCCCCGGTCACTCAAGACATAGCGCGCTGGCGATACTCCGACAACGGCCATACACCGCGCGGGGCCCCGGACGGACGGACAGACGGACAAAGCCTATCAGACAGTCGCGGATTGGCAGCGATAGGAGGGCCATCGGCATGGCGTCAGTGCTTGGCGCGGGTCGTTCTCTCAGCGACAACTTCAAAGAAGGCTTTCGAGGGGTCCCTCCCTGGACGAGTCAAGTGTAAATACAGCGACCTGGGGCAAGCACCGGGCAAGCACAGCGTGGGCACGGTGCGCCCGGGCGTGGCGTGGCGTGCGACGGCACTGCGGCTGCGTCACGCGGACTCGCGACTCGTGTCGTGCGCCACCGGCCGAGCGACTGTACAGACAGCCAATGCCGCGGGCCGCGGGGTGGCGATCACCTTGTCTGTCCCCCCTCCCGGCACTCTCGGCCGGTCCGCGGTTCGCGCCTTTCGGCGGCAGAGCCGCGGCGGCGCGGCGGCGGGCCACCTCCTCCCGTCTTCTGGCCGCCGGCCCGCGGGTGAAGCGCGCGTCCACCGACCACCGCGGCGTTCGCGCTTCGCGATGCGCGGTGCGGCGAGCTGCGCGCGGCGCGAAGTACTCCGCGGTCCGGCCGGCGTTCCGCGCGGCGAGGCAGCGACCTCTGCTGGACGACGGGCCCGACGGGCAGGGCCGCCAACTTCGGCAGCGCCAAGCAGTGGAGCAGCGCACGGCCCTGGCGCGGCGCGGCGACGCTGCACGCACCGCGTCCGCGGGGACCAGGCAACCAGGAGCGGGAGTCTGGGATGTGCACGCAGAGCGGGTACCCGCAAAAGGCGCGAAAGTACCGGGCAGCGCGCGGCCGGCCTTTCCAGGCCTTTCCAACCGAGTCCTCCGCCAGGGGCCGTTTCGCCGCCTCCCGGCCGAAATCACACGAAATCAGAGGCTCCCTCCATGTTCCTCAAATTTTCATTCCGTCTTTCGCCTTGCACCGCGTCGAGTGCGATCGCGCCATTCGACGACACGGCCGAGACGGCCTGCAGCGCCACGGCGGCGAGCGGCAGCACTACGGCGAAGGAATGGAAAGGGGAGGAAGTCAAAGGGAAGGGGAAGGGGGAGGTGGATTGCGGGGCAGGCGGAGGGGGCGAAGCGCGAGATATACTCCGTCGGCCGTACCCATCTTGCGATCGACCTGCTGGATCGATCGATCGCCTCATCGCTGGTTCGCTAGGGCTTCGAGTGTGTTTCTTCGCTGGCGACTGCGGCGGCCCGGCGGCCAGGCGGCCCGAGGAGGTGGCCGGCCCCGAGCCGCGGCCCGCGGCGCGGCGTAGTGCGGCTAGTCGGCGCGGCGCGAACCAGCGCTAGCAGCGCCGAACGGGGGAATTCCCCTTCCCTTCGCTTACCCGACTCATGTTCTCGGCGCGTGCTGCCGCGGCCTGGCTCTGCTCCGCGCTGCTCCCGTTTCGCTGGCTTACCTTCCCATTTGCGCATCATGTGGATGTTGCAGTCCGAGTCCCTCGTGTAGCAGAAGGCATACCCGCTGTACGTCGTGCCGAAGTCGATGGCCACCACCACGTGATGGGCGGGCGCGGGCCGCGGACCTGGAACCGCCGACACAGCGCTCAAAAAGTGAGGTCGATTACCGGTCCTCGGCTTGACGCCTGACCAAGTCGGGGTATGCAACCCGCCGCACTGCCGTGCGCCCACACAGCAGGTGGCTGCCTACCTCGCAGGCGGTCGGGCCGGGGCGCGGCGGGCCAGGAGACCGGCGCCCGTACGCGTTTTGAGCTCCAGATAGTCGCTAAACAGAACATGTGACCTGACCTCACCAAACCTCGTTCCGAAAGCAATCCATTGGCGGGGTCACACGTTCGGTTCGAGTCCCATTTAGCAACTCTGGAGCTGAAAACGCGTCCGGAATTTCGACCGCCTCCACAGGTCTCCTTGCCTACTGAGCACGGCCGAGTCGCTGATGCTGAGGGAGGGACGGGGAACTTACTCGTCGTGGATTCCGTGGTGGCGGGGAAGGCGCTCGGCACGAAGGTGGTGGCGGGGCTGGCCTCGAACGTCTCCGAGGACAAGTCCTCCTCCAGCGACGCCCTCACCGACGGCGTCCTGCAAAGCCATCGCGACCAATAGGGCAATACTTCCCGCGGCGGCGATACTCTCCGCGGGTCAGCGTCTGCGAGGCGAGGGGTAGCGACGCGCGGCGCGCCGCCCCGGCACTACGTTGCTCGCGAATCCGCGCGGTCTACCCCTCGCCGCGCATCGCCAAAGGGAACAACTGGCCGAAGAGCGAGAGTCGAACATCGAACCTGGGTGGTTTGGCGGGGAGGCTATGGCGTAGCAGCGACGCCCTGAAGACGTCGTCGGCCGAGCTGAACCTCTTGCTCTGGCGGACGGCGGTGCCGGGGGTGTCTCTGAAGTGGGCCCCGCCCTGGGCCCCGACCTGGGCGCCGCCATGGGCCCGGCGGAAGGGCTCCGGGGGCGAGAGGAGGGTCTGCGGCCCGAGCAGGTTGCTGGCAGAGGCGCTGAACCCCTCCACTGCAATCTGAATGGAACGGCGGCGCTCAATCCTCAATCCGAACGTCAATACTTGTACCGCGGCGGCACGCTACGGCACGCCTCGGCACGCCGCGCGGCAGGGCCAACGCACTGCAAGGCGGATTACTCGCGATTCGACCAGCCTCGCCAGACCGCCAGCAACCCCGTACTCATCATCGAGGCCCTCGGTATCCCCTTTCTCGGTGCCGAGAGCCGAAACGCCAAAAAGCTAACAGACCAAAATGCCAAAACGTTTATTCCCCTCTCGCGAAGGAAAAGCATCATCGGACGCGCTTTTGGCGTTTGAAGCCCAACGCGCCCATTCCATTCTAGTGAAAGCAGAGCGCGGGATGCGGAATGCGTGTTCGCTCAAAGGGGCTGCTTATCATACCGGCGCATATCATTAGAATGGATAATGAACGGACGATGATAACGACGCCGCGGTGCTGCGGTGAAACAGAATACGACCACCTAGCGGTCCGATTCCCAACAGCGCTTTCGTCGGTCTGTCTCTTTCTCTCTCTTTCTCTCTCTTCCCTACGGTGTGCGCCGTGAGTGCGAGAGAGACAAAGCGACGAAAGCAACTGTTCGGAGTCAGCCCGCCGGGACCGCTTATACGCCATGAGGGTTGCACTGCGGGGTGGCCATGCTCCGCCGTGCTCCCCAGCCTCTCTGATGTGAGAAGAAAGGAAGGCAAAAGGGGGTGAAAGTCGTACGCCGGAACGCTTCTCCCCATCTCTCTCACCTGCTGGACGTTGGGCAGGCTGACGACGGAGCTGATGCCGGGGCCGGCCACGCCCGCCACCGCGTGCCTGGAAGACCTGCAACCAACCAACAGCGCGCCTCGCGTCAGGAACAGGGGCTGGCGTTTAGTTCAATTAAACTGCCAGCGCGAGTTTGCCGGGACCACGTCGCGTCGCGTCTCGTCGCGTTCTGTCACGTCGCAGCAGGTCGTGCCCGGGCCCTCAAATCGGCCGCCTGCAGCACCCCGCCCCGCCCCGCCCCACCCCGCCCCAGTCTGGAGGGCCATTTCGTCTGGACGGGGGACAGTCGGCGTTGGGGGTGCGGGAGAGAGAAAGAAGGAAAGGGGGCGACTGTGGCCACTGCACTCCGGACTCCGGCCCGGTGACGGCCCCCTATTCCCTCGCTACGTGGGCGGACTCAAAAACGAAACATGTGAGTGGCTGGGGCTGCGGGTGGGGGAGGGGAGGGGCGGGCCGTTGGCCGTCGGCGTCGTCTGGCGTCTTTGTGGTTTTGCGCTAGTACTCACGCCGCGGGTGGCTGGGTCCCCGGGGCCTCGTCGCCCACCCCTTGGCGCGCCCCTTGGCGGGCCTGGCGCACGCCCTGGAGCCCCTGCAGGCCGTGCAGGCCGTGCAGGCGGAGGAGGCCGGCGTCGCGGTCCGAGTCCAGCGCGTCCAGCGAGTCCAGCCCCACCGGCGCCGAGCTGAAGGGCGGCCGGCCTGCGTGCAGCGGCGAGGGCCCGAGGTTGGGCGCCGAGTCGAAGTGTGTCTCTGTGGTGGAGAGGAGAGCACACAAACAGAGGGTCAGACAATCGGACCGACAGACGGACGGATAAACAAAGTGGACAGACGAACACACAGACGGACCGCACAAACAAGCGGCGCATCGAATCCGGTAATATCCGCCACTGTGCAAGCATGCTTTATCGCTCGCCACCTGCCCAGCAGACCGATTTCGAGGGCCGCTTTCGTCACTCTGTCTCTCTCGCACTCACGGGGCGTCCCTTGTAGGTGAGAGAGAGACAGGGCGACGAAAGTGACTCTCGGAGTCAGTCCGCTGTTCGGCGCGGCGTTGGGCCGCCACACGCTCGGACGCCACACGTTTGCACATACACCGCGACAGGCCGTACTGACCGGTGAACATCCTGGGGCTGCGGGCCGGGTGTCCAGACGGCCCGGACGGCTTCGTGCTGACGGCCTCTGAGGGCGCCACGGCGGCGTCGGCCACGTACAGCTCCTCGACGACCTTGAAGGCCTCCCCCTCGGGGAGGACGCCTTCGGCAGCGGCCTCGTCCACGGGCGGGGCCGGCTGGCGCTCGCAGCCCCCAATCGGCGCCGGCCTGCGGGGACATAACGCAGAGCGTGATCGTCAAGGCCCGGGGCGGGAACAAAACTCCTAGTCCGGGTCGCAGAGGGACAGAGAGAGGGCAAGTAACACTCAGCACTAGGAAATCAACGATGGGGACCTCTTGTGAGCTTCAGCGAGAACGTCCGCGACATCCACGTCGTCATCGTGGGCGTCGCTGGCCGAGGACGCCGTCGTGGACCCCGACGAGTCTAGGATGTCCAGCTCGCACGACGAGGAGGAGCCCTGGATGCCCGAGTCCATGGAGAGGTCCCTGTCCCTGGAGTCCCTGGAACCCCTGGAGTCCGCCGGGTCTCGGCCCGCGTCCGCGCCCCGCGCCGGCCCGCGGCACCGACTCCGGGCCGCGGTCCACGGGCTGCGCTGCTGAAAACGCACAATGGAAGCAAATGAGCCGACAACAAAGAAGGGCGGGACCGGAAACGGCGTCCAGAGCGGCCGATTTACCTCATCCCCGATGCCGTCGTCGCCGCTGGTGTTGCCGCTGCTGGAGCCCAGCGACAGGTCGCTGCCGGGCGAGGCGGGCTGCCGCGCGTCGGCGTCCTCGTCCGACAGTGGGCTGAAACGGCCAAACGGCGAGATGTCGACATGCCTCAATCTCTGCTCCTTCCAGTGGCACAGACGCGCGTTTACCTCATGTTGGCGAGGCCCGCCAGCGGCGCCAGCTGCGCCAGCCCCGCGTCCTGGGGGTGCGCCGCGTGGACTGGGGCGGGCGCGGCGCCGGCGTCGGTCGCGGCGTCGGCTGCTTTCTGCTTGAGCGGAGAGATGCTGGTCCTGGCCACATCGTCATGCCCCTGCCGGAGGCCCTCCCCTCCATCGCCCGGGGGCGGACCTGCAACAGTGTCGGATGAGGAGCGGGAGGAAGGACAAGCCAGGGACAAGCAGGGCGCCTGGCAGGTATGCAACCAGCGCACGGGTGTCGTGCGTGCTGCCTGCCTGCCAGGCGCCCGGCCCGCACAAATCAACCGATAATTGATCCAGGAAGCGGGAGATGGGAATAATTCGACTTATCTCCAAATTATCTTATTTCGGATTGCTTTGGTGCCTGAAATGGCGATTTAACTACAGCGGAATAACAAGTTTGAAATTTCCGCGGCCGCCCCGTTTGCAGTGTGCAGTGCCGGTGGCGCGAAGCACGCGAAGCAAACCAAGTGGGCCAAGCGTAACACGGCGCCACGCGTGCACGCGCGTCGAGCCTGCGCGTGCGGGACCTGCGGCCTGCGGGGCCTGCAGCACGCCGAGTGCCGGTCCTTCAATTTTCCTTCGCTTTTCGCGCCGAAAATGTTGTTGTTGTTGTTGTTTCAGGGAAGGGAAACGCTGCAGGGAAAGTGACGCATCGACACGGATGGCCTCGCGGCGTGTCGGTCGCGTGTGCGACGGTCAAGTGTACGGCGACGACCGCGAGGAGGCCTGGCCGGTGACGAGGAGGCCGTCGACGACAAAGCAGAGGATGCAGGCGGGGGCGGGGGGCGGCGCGGGGCGGCGCGGGGCGGCGCGGGGCCACCGCCGCCAGCTCCCAGTGCGGAACCGTCGCGTTCCGGTCGCGTGGACAAGACGGACCGCCGGACTGCCTCCAGAAGGTGCCTCCGCCTCCATCGGCTCCAGTCCCTCTGCCGGCCGGCTGGGGCGGAGGGACGAGGAGGCACGCCGGAGATGGGGTTCTGGCTAAAGATACTCGACACAAAGACGCTGCCCTGCAGTGCCCTGCAGTGCCCGGGCCGACACTGCAATGACCAGCGTGATGCCAGTGACGCCAGCGACCCGAACGGAAGTCCGCCGCGGCCGCGACGCCAACGCCGTCCACAACATGACCGGAGGCCGGACGAAGCGAGTAACAAGTAGCAAGTCGAGCCCGGCCGCCCGGCCACAACAGGTTGCCCAGGCCAGGCCAATCACGGCAGCAGTCATTGTGGATGCCCGTTGGCTGGGGTTCGATACCAGCCCGGAGTTCGCGATCGCCAAATAGTCCTATGTTTGGTTCAGACAATTCCTTTTCCAACAAAACATTAACATTATTTTTGGCGTGCTGATGTATGCGCGGGGCGGGGCGCGCTGACCGACTGACCGACTGCTGGGCCGGGGCCGTCTGTCCAGGATGGGCTGTACTGGCCGTGCTGGCAGCGCAGCCCGATACAGTGTTCGCACACTGACTGTCCGGCCAGTGACTGGAACGGCCAACGTCCCGCTGCGGCGCCGCGGCGCCGCGGTGCACAATGGCGGAATTATGCCGAGGTGTTGCGGTCGCCTTATCGGCCAGCACAGCAGCGCCGCCGAGGTGGCCGTCAAGGCGCCCGCCAAGGACAGCAGCCTCCGCTGTGCTCCGGACCGAACCCTGGTCAATATCTTACCTGCGGTCTTCTTGCGCTTGTTGGCCGTGGCGTAGATGGGCTCGCTGGCGGCACTGGCGGTGGCGCCTCCTGGGATGCCGTAGGGGAACACGGCCTCGTCGGCGTTCAGCTTCTCCAGGAGCTGGCGAATTTCCTGGTGGTACAGGTCCTTGTGTGATGCGGCGCCGCTCGGTGCCTCCAGGATGGCGTCGTCGCGCATGGCGCGCCAGTCCGTCACGCTGGAGGGCTGGCGCTGCGCGTGGCCCTGCGGCGGGGAACACGGGCGTCGCTTAGCGTGCCTTCCTGCCTCAACTCCCTGTGCACTGCGTCCCCGGTCCCAGTGTTTTCCCTCCAGCGTCTCAGGGGCAGGCCAGGCCGGGGCCAGGCAGGCATTGCCGGTCCCTCCCGTAAGGCTCCGACAAGCCGGCGAGGGCCGCGTTAGGCTTTGCAGCCGGCGTAATGATGGTGTATACGTACCTCGAGAGCCGCTTCGCGCAGTTCGCCGTGGTCGCGGTGCTGTGGGGCGGCTGGGGCGGCTGGGGCGGTCCTCTCGCCAGGCCAGTCCTCCGCGGGGCCAGCCAGGGCCAGCTCCTGCGGCTCCCAGTCCGCGGCGTCCGGCACTGATAGCGACGCCGGCGCCTCTGACAGAAAGACGCTCCGTCTTCGAGGGTCTGGCGCCTTGCTCACCTCTTCGACGACGCCACCGTGCACTTTGCCGTCGTCGTCGTCCAGAAGGTGCTGCAGGCGCTGGTTCAGCCTGCTGCGCGTGGCGGCCAGCCTGGGGTCTTGCAGCACGTCGCTGGCCGTGTCCTGGTCCTCGAGCCGCACGGTCTTCACCTGCAGCGGGCCGTCGTACGCCACGGCCTCTACCACCACCTCGGCGTCCACGGCCTTGGCCACTCGCTGAACCAGTGTGCAGGACGCGAGGGGCGAAGGCTCCGCGGCGTGGCCGTCGCGCCCGTCGCGCTCGTCGGGGTGCTGGTACTCCTCGAGCTCTTCCTGCTGGCGGCGCACTAGCTCCTGTAGGTCGTGGATGGCCTGGTCCTCCGCGGACGGGCCGGGCTTGCTGGCCGGCGGGTCCTTCCGGACTGCGTCTCGCCTGGTCGCCGTGCCGGGGGCCGTGCTGGGGGCCGTGCTGGGGGCCGTGCTGGGGGCGGGGCCCGGCCTTCGAAGCGACGACGATTTGGGCCGGATGGGCGGCCTGCCTCTGCCGCCGGGAGGAGCCTTACCGGACGCGGCGTCGGGCGACGTGGGCCTCGAGTCTGACGAGAACTTCCAGCTGAGGTCGCTGAGCGGCGCCGGCACGTCCGCGGGCCTGGCGCCACCGCGCGGGGACGCCGTCGAAGTCTTGGTGACGGGGATGCGCGACGCCGTGGCGCCCGCCTTGGACTTGACGACGGGTGGCTTGACCGGGATGGCGGTGCGGGCCGGCGACGCCCGCTTCGGCACCGCCTTGGACGACGTCCTGCCGACCAGTGTGGCCCGGCGCGCGCCGCCGCCCACCGCCTCGAGCAGGGAGGAGCGGCGCTGCGACAGGGACGTCATGGCCTCCGCGGACGCCCCGGCGGCGTCCCTTCCCCTTCGTCCTCACGGCAGGCGGCGGCCTCGGTCGGCCAAGGACACGTCAAGGGCACGTCAAGGGCATGTCAAGGACGCCCCGACCAGTCGCCCCCTCATGGTGGCGTCAGCGAAACCTGCCGGGCACAAAGCGAAGTACAACACTGAGACCGGGTATTTACGTAACTTTGAGCACGCCCACGCATCTGAGCTGATTTTCATTCATCCCGCAGCACATGGTGCCGGTCATAACCCGCCAAAGAACGCTGCAGCCGACCACCCGCCCCCACGAAAGGGTCCAAATTAATGGAGAGCGACCCACTCCACCCCGCCGCCGCGGCGTCCAGGGACTGGGTCTTGGTTAACAGTCACAAACAAAGCGGTCCTCGACCGGGGCCTTCTTCGAGTTCCCCGAGTTCCTCGAGAGTAATTGGGCGGCGCTGAATGGCGGAATGGCGCGCGGAATTTGAATCGTCCCACGCGGCGCTTGGCGCTTGTAAACGGGCGGCCGGGGGCGGAGTGCCCTGGGAACTGGGGACCGGAGGGACCGAAGGGACCGAAGCCCGCTAAGTGACGTATCGGCAAGCGGCGAGCGGCAAGCGGCACGCCCGGAGGCTTAGCCCCGCGCCGCTCCATTACCCCCGCTATCCCCGCCAACGAAAGTGCATGATGGCAGTGGTCACGTAGTCACTGCAGGAAGCCGTACCCGGTGGCTGCACACGAGTGCGTGCACGCGCGCCGACACACGCGCACGCACGCACGGCCGACTGACCGGCCGACTCGGCCAGCACTTTCACCCTCCGGAATCATACGAGATCATATGCACCATGACCACGATAATGCCCGCCGTCTGCCCGGCCGCCCCGCGCGCATTGTTCATGTTCGCGGCGTTCGCGGCGCCGGAAGAGGAAGGCAGGCCGACCGCGCGCGGTCCGAGGCCTAAACGAAAACCAAATCGAAGCGCCGAGACCGAAAGAGCGATGGACGGGCTAACGCGGCCGGGCCGGCCCGGCCTGCATCAGCCTGCATCCTGCATCGCCGGCCGGTGCAGCGCGGTGCAGCGGGTGGCGCGGCGCCTCCTCGCCGCCTTGCACAATGCCACGTTGCATCACTGAGGCCGAGCCAGGCCACGCCGGGGAGGCCTAGGCCAGTCCGGGGTCCGGCGTCAAAAGGCGTTGCTCTGAAGCGTGCATCTCTCCGCACAGCGCCAAAAAACGAAAAATGAAAAATAGCAGCGCGCCATCAAAGAGCTGAAAGCACTGAAAAGGCGCCACAGGCCAAAGGAAGGTCGCCCCGCGCCAGTCCGCAGCCCGCACCCGCGCAGCCCGCGCAGCCCATAGCAGGCACCTTTCTTGCTGCTCACTCACTCGGCTCCGAATGGGGCGGGCGGGCGGGCGGAGGGACGGATCCTCGCGAAGCTCGTCAACTCGAGCATCGTCTTGTCAGTCTGATGCCGCCTGGCAGCCGCCACCCGGCGGACAATTCTTTTGTCGCGCGACGGTGTGATGCCACGTATTAGGAGGACCCCCAAGGCCGGCTGGGGAGGCGCGAAAAGGACGCCGTTAGTTTATTTACCCCCGCTCGCCATTCATCCGTTCCTTCCATGCATTCTTCATTCATCCGTTCACCTTCAGTCATTCCTTTCCTCCCTCATGTATTCTTGATTCATCCGTCCACTTCGTTCGTTCGTTCGTTCGTTCATTTATTCATATGCGTTCATTGCCAATGGACGTGCTTGCTGTACAAACGGCTTGAAGCGAGCAACCTCCTCAGGCAAACGGTGTTAAAACCACATGTAAGACAACGCCGGCATACTGCGTACGTACATCGTACGTCATCGGATCGGAGCGGTGTGTGCAGTGAGGGCCCTGTGTGCGTGTGGGCGAGTGGGTGCGCAGCGCGCAGGCTCGTAGGTTAATCTCCTGTTGTCACAGGATCAGCAATCAGGCCTCCGCGCCCACGCATCCCCGTGCCACTCCGTCCTAACCAAACACGCCACCCGGCGCGCCGCCGCGGCGGGTACGGAAGCACTGCTAGTGTGTGCCATCTTCGCGGCTTGCAAGCGGCGGTCGCTTTGGTTGTCTTTCTTTCGCTGCCGATGCCGACGGAGCCAAGCGGGGCAAGCGTGTCCAAGCGGAGCACAGCAGTACTTCGTCGTTTCATGGGGAATGTTTGGTATAATTAGCTGTCTCAACTTGACCTGAACCTGAGCAAGCGGGTCCAAGTGGAGCACAGCAGTACTTCGTCGTTTCATGGGGAATGTTTGGTATAATTAGCTGTCTCAACTTGACCTGAACCTGAGCTACTGTTCTAACGTTAGGCCTAACACACCCCATTTGATTATGGGCTCGCCCTAATTACTATTCAAAAAGAAATAGGGGAGGGCATCTGCATTTTCCTTTCTTTGTGTCTGTGTGTTATTGTCGTTTGTGTATAAAGGAGTTGAGCTAGTTGATTTCCTTCTCGACCGAATCGCCGCACGTTCCACACGTTCTCACCGACTCGTCCTCACACACCCACACACGTGCACACGCGTGCTCACCCACACACTGACCTGTCCGTCCTCGGCGTGCTTGAGTAATCCAAGGCAGCAGATTCCGTGCATGACAGGCGACACGGAGCGCACCGATCGGCGACGACGCTATTCGCAGTCCGCGCGACGCACTGATTGGGTCACTATTCGCAGTCCGCGCGGCGCACCTTTCGACGACGCCACTGTTTGCACTTGCAGTCCGCGCGCGCCGCACCACTCGCAGTCGGGCACGCGTCACGCCCAGCAGAAGAAGACTGTTGCGCACCGGGGCCCGCGGGGCCTGCGGGGCCTGGGCCTGGGCCTGGGCCGCCTCGCGCTGTCTCGGGTGATGCACACAGCGCAGCAGCACGCCGGCAGGCCGGCAGCCATGGCGCAGCGCTGGGCCACGCTGGGCCCGGAGGCGAGGAGCCCGCGGGAGGCGCGGGAGGGGCCCTGCGCCCCGGAGGCCCCGGAGGCCCCGGCGGTGGGGCGGGTGCTGCAGCACGCAGGTCGGACACGCGCGTCGCACGCAGCACGCGCACGCCCCGCTAGGAGAGCGGATTGAGGACGAGAAGGAGCAGCGAGAGGGGTGGGGGAGCGATTCACATCGGAGTGACCGCGGCGTCCCGGCGTCCTGTCTCCGGGTACTCCCGACTTGGCTTTTGTCTTTGACCACGGGGTGTGGCGACCACGGTGGCGACCACGGTGGCGACCACGGGGCGGCTCCCTCTCCCCGGCGCCCCACCCCTTCTGTCTCTGTCGCACTCTAGCGGCGTCCCGGAAGGGAGCGAGAGAGACAGAGTGACGAACATGACTCTTCGAAACCGCTCGTTCGTTAGCCAGCCCCTCATTTTTCGGGGCGCCTCGATGGGGGCTGAGGCTCGGGCTGAGGACGTGTCCTGCAGGGCGGGCCTCTGCGCCTCGCCTTCTCGCCGCCACACTGATAGTATCTCCCCAGTGAGGACGCCGACGTGCCGCCGCACTGCCAGCAGGCTCATTCCGAACCGTGCTTTCGTCGCTCTGTTTCCCTCGCACGCCTGCGGCTCGCCCCGTGAGTGAGAGAGACAGAGCGACGAAAGCACAGTTCGGAGTGAGCCTGGAAGCGGCGCGGCCGCGGCACACGCTTCGCCACAAAGTCCGCTTCATCTTCATCGGCAAGCCCTTTCCTGACCAGAGGATCAGCAAGGTGAGTCTCCTGGAGAGGGTGAAGGAACGAAGCACCTCTGCACTCCAGCACCGTTCCACGCCTCACGGTCGTCACCCGTTCCCCGACCGCCGCTCTGAAAACTGAAAACCCGAGGCGGGCGTGCTGCGTGCCGCGTGCGCCGGGTAAACATACTTTGCCGTCTCCTTTTGCAGTCTCCTATTTCCCAGGCAGCCGGCGCTTCTTCCGGTCTGCCCTCTGCCCCCGTCGTCCTCGTCATCTCGTCGTCCTCGTCGTCTCGTCCGCCGTCACATCATCCTCGTCGTCTTCGTCAACACCCCTGCTTCCCTGCGTGCCTGCGTGTTTGTTTGCCGCTGCACCTGTAGTCATCATCGTCAGGGTATCTCCCTGCCCTGCCGGCCCTGCCGGCCCTCGAGGCTTGATAAGGGCGCCCTCGCCGACCCTCTTTTGGCGGGGAGGGGGTCCTTGAGCTCCTCCGTCCTCCTTCTCCGGGGCGGGCGGCCCATGACGGCCCCATGACGGCGGCCTCCACAAAGGAGCACGCTGGGCGGCGCCTCCCTTCCCTTTCCCCACGCGGCAGTGTTTTGTTTCTGTTCGGCCGTACAAATGTAGTACGTGCCTCGCTCCGGGCGGCTGGCCCTGGGCAGGCCCTGGGTGGCTCAGGCTAGCCTCGCTCCGGGCCGCGTCGGCTGCGTCACGTACACAAACAACCCCAACGGCGCGTTCCGCGAAGAGCCCCCCGGGGCGGGTCGGGGCCGACGTCACTGGCGCGGCGCGGCGCGACGCGGGGCGGGGTGGGGTAGGTTAGTGTGGAAGTGCGTAGGCCTGCCGGAAAGAGGAGACGCGGGACGCGCGGCAGGAGACTCATTCCGAGCGGAGTGGAGTGGCGCTCGGAAGGAATCAGTCTGCAGGCAGTGGACCGGACGGCAGGGGCTGCGTCTGCCATTTGGAGCTGCGCTTTCGATCCCTTACTTCTCGATTTGATTCTGTGCTGACTTGGACTTCTCGGCCGCTGCCGCGACCTTGGCGGCGTGGTTGCTGTGGGCGTGGAGGTAGACGCCGTGCGACCGCCGGCCCGCGGGAACGGGGCTCGCGGGGCTTCACGGCGAGGATCATCTTCGTCTCCTCCCGCCCAGCGGCCCGCGGCCCGGCCTTGCGTTTAGACAGAGAGCGGATCTGTAAGCCGAGACGTCCTGCCTGCCGGCACGCTGCCGGCACGCTGCCGGGGCGCGGAAACGTCAGGCCGCGACGCTGCCACGGCATCTACTCGGATGTCGGGTAGGGTTCGGTGGCCAAGATTGCCGATAGCGT